GTGGCGTTCGCCGTCGACGACGTTCTGGAGTGGGACGAGCTGCTGGTCAGCTTCCATCGCTTCCATCGCTGGACTATGCCTAGCTCCGGGAAGACTACCGAAAACTTCTGAAGCTCTGCGTAATTGCTCTCGGCGGAGTTCCAAGCACGGCATCCGTTTCTCCGCCTCAGAGTACTCCATTGAGTTAGGTGGATGGCAAAGACCATCTGCACTGTGGAGTGTGGATGCCTTCCTCTTCAGGGAGCGGCTCCGGCTGACGGCGGCCGAGGCCCAGGTCATTAAACGCTGTGCGCTGTCCGTTGCCTGCAAGTTTGCCGCCGCCGCCGCCGCCTGGTTTGGGACTCTATTGCCACTGCGCCGGCTCTGGACCTGACCTTCGTGAACTCGTTCTGCACCTACCCCGACAAGGAGCTGTCGAAGGCGACAGTCCTGGTCTTCGGCCGTCACCTGTAGTACTTGAGTGATCGGCTGCCTGGTGACTCTGGAGCTTTTAGACCCCGACCCTCGGGCTCAATCAAGACATGGTGCGGGCAATAGACTTGTAGGAGAGGGAGGACCCTCCCCATAAGTCCTTAGTGGACACTATGAACGCCGCTCTCGCGACCGAGACCTTGGTGAGCTTCCTCACATCGTCGTTCAAAAAGCTCTCAAGGATCCACGACCTGGACGCGGGGCTCATCATCAATGACCAAGGCCACTGGGAGGACAGCAGCTACCAAACCGCAGCTCGTGTAGTCCGGGAGCTGCGGTTGGTGAATGACTTCACCAGGCGCGGCATGGCGCTGATGTAGGACTGGCACTCATGAAAGACAAAGATTAGCGCCAGTTCTTCCTCCATGCCGTTGAAAAGATCACAGAAAACGCTAACCTGACACCCGAAGATCGACTGCAATTGCTAACCAGGCTATAAACAAAGTGATCTGGGTGCCCGTTGCCCATGATACCCCTCCCTCCAATGAGGCGCCAATAATCTACTAAAGAGGAGGCACTTGAGTAGTGGAGTACATAGACCAGCGTTCTGGTGTGACCGAAGCTGCGCTGCATGAAATATCAAAAAACAATATGAAAATGACTAGGAAATGCTTCATTATCATCCGATTACAGCGTAATAGGAAAGTCCGAAACGATTTTAATTATATTGAAATCTGCCACCAAAATCCGAACTTTGACCTTGATTCGCGACCTCTAAACATCAATATTTTCCCATAAAAATTTGCCTCCCTTATTTTTTACGGGAAAGGAACTGGAAAACCACCCGCACGCATTTAAAATCAAAAATTGATTTTTAAGTGCCACCCTAACCGGGAGGGCCCATCTCGTTCCCCAGCAGGCCCATACGAGTCCATAAATGCCCAGTAGCGCAGCCAGGGGTATTGTGGTGAAATTTTAATTGCCCTCAAAAGACCTCAAAGGGCCCACAGATGGGATCACCGGGTCCTCAGATGGTCTCGAAGGGCCCTCGGTTAGCGTCAAATGGCCCTCATCTGGTGTCAAAGGGCCCTCAGATGGCCAAATGAAGGGCCACAAGATGGCCTCAAAGGGCCCTCAGATGGGTTCAAAGGGCTCTCAGCCAACGTTAAACCTACCTCAGAAGACCTTAAAGGGCGTCAAAGGGCCCTAAACCTGCGTCAGAGGGCCCTGAGCTCGCGTCAAACCTCCGAACCTCCGAAGGCCTTAAAGAGTCCTTAGCTTGTGTCAGAGGGCCCCCAGCTGGTGTCAGTGAGCCCTCCTCATCTGGCGCCAAAAGTCCATCTGAAGGCCTCAAACGGTCCTCAGATGCCGTCACGCGGCCCTCAAAAGCCTCAAGGAGCCCTTATAAGGTCTCAAAGGGCCCTCATTTGGCCTCAAAAGGCCCTCCGCTAGCGTTAACCGGACTTCAGAAGTCCTTAAAGGGCCCTTATCTGGTGTCAGAGGGCCCCCAGCTAGTGTCAGAGGGCCCTCAGTTGGCGCAAAATGGCCATCAGAAGGCCTCAAACGGTCCGTAACTGGAGTCCAACCGCAACGGTCCTCAGGTGGCGTCAAGCGGCCCTCAAAAAGCCTCAAAGGCCGCTTAGAAGGCAGCAAAGGGCCCTCATATGACCCCAAAGGCTCCTCTGCTGGCGTCAAACGGACCTCAGAAGGTCTCAAAGGGCGTCAAAGGGCCCTGAGCTCGTGTCAAATATAAAAGCGCCCTTAGCTGGTGTCAGGAGGCCCCCAGTTGGTGTCAGCGTGCCCTCAGCTGGTGTCAGAGAGCCCTCAGTTGGCATCTACTGGCCATCAGAAGGCCCCAAACGGTCCTCAGATGGCGTCCAACGGTCCTCAGCTGACGTTAAGAGGCCCTCAAAAAGGCCTCAAAGACCCCTCGGCTGCTGAAGAGGCCCTTAGCCTCAAAGGAAACTCAAGAGACGTTAAACGGCCCTAAAAAGGCTTGAAAGGGCCCTCTGCTGGTGGCAAAGGGCTCGCATATGACGTCAATAACAGCTTTGTCAAAAACGGACCTGAGAGACCTTGCCGGTCCCTGGTTATAAGGGACTCCTGTCTCTTGCAGTAACCTGAGTGGCCCACGTTTACTGAGGGGCCCCTGGTTATTGAAGGAGTCCCTGGTTACTGGAAGGACCCCTGGTTATCAGAGGGCTCCCTGGTCACCTGGTGGGTCCCTGATCAATTGAAACCTCCCGATCATCTGAACGCCCTCTGATTGCCTTGGTCTTGGCGTTGGCGTACAGTTTAAAGTCGTCGGCACACTGCGGCCTCCTCTTTCTCAACAAGTCCCTCTATTTCTTCTGCAGCGAGGGCGATTTCGTCAAAATACTCCTCCATCGCGAAGCCTCGTGCGCAGACGCAGTCTTCGGGGCGCTCGCTGCGCCAACTCTTGACGCCAACTGACGGGCTCCAAATGGAACAGATGGACTCCGAAACGAACGTGGGAATGCCGACACATGATCCCTCCAAATTTACAGAGGAGGAGATGTCCCTGACAGCCCATTTGCAATAGGGGTCACTTTTACACTATAGACGTATGGGGAATTCGACCTTATCGACATGGTACTACGAGGTCAGCTGATCTGCTTGGCATTTAAATCGTAGTAAAACTGGCATTTAAACGCTGCGAAACAACTTACGTACAACGTAGCTCCGATTTGCCGCTCTTTCTTTTTCATCCCTCCGATTTTCTTCCGATCAAGAGAAGTTTCGTACCGAGAGAAGTTTCGCAGCCACGTCCGATATAACTTACGATAGCACGGATCCCCCCAGCCTTACTACACAACTTGCGACACGTCGCAGCTACGACGAGGCTTACGACGCTCTGGATCCCCCCAGCCCCGGCCGGACTGACACCGGGGATTTCCCACTGGGGAGTCCCTGGGAATTTCCTGTCGGAAGTCCAGCGCATCTAGCGAGTAGCGCGTAGGCACCGCCGCACCGACGATGCCGCAAAGCCGGCAATCATTGTGCGCAGTATTTGGCTTACTAGAGACTAACCGTTTCCACTGGGTAGTGGATGACGACATATTGCATAACGTAGTACGATAAAATAATTTGCTGCGTTAATTAACAAATACCGTAATTCAGTAACGTAGCAATATATAACGTATCGTAATTCGGTATCGTAGTTTTGGCCAAAAAAGCAAACGTAGCGTAACGTAGTGCGTAACGTAGCGTAGCGCAGGCCAACTCTGGTCGTCTGAGGATGAATACCTACCGACCTCAGTGGTGACCATGGGTAGTGACAACGAAACAACACGAGAGCGAAAGTCGAACCAACGCTGCAACGATGGACATGAAAATGAAACAATATCGGAACTAAGTAACCCGGAAACGAAACAACACGATAGCAAAACAACACGATATACAGAACAACACTAGCTGAGTGGAACAACATGAGAACGAGACAACGCGAGAACGATTCTCGGGGCGGTCAGAGTGGCAAAACGGTCAACGCCGCTGAGGATTATTCGATGTTGTCATGTCTGATGATCCATTAAAAAAAAATATTATTCCTGTTATTATTTCGGTTACCGGGGTTAGTTCTTGCGGGATATGTAGGTATGTTTAAATTTTGTTATCAACTGGTGGTGTCGTTTTCCTAAGAACGGAAGCAGCCACTTATGTTCTGAAAATGCCTAGGTATCTTATCGGAACTGCAATGTGTGCTCAGCATTGGAGTGGAAGCTTGCATGCTGATACAGTACCTATCTGAGGGAATGCCTGCCATCAAGTGGCTTTCATTCAACGTTTATGCGCCGAGGCACGCACGATAACGTAAACAGTAGGTATAAGCTGTAAGCATGTGTCTCCAACGTGTGACGAGCGGCGGTGCAGCGCGACACCGTGATGCAAATTCAAGGTAGAAAAGTTAGGTACTGTATAGATAACCGCATTATCTGACGTTAAATGATCCAATTCTAAACAACCATATAGTTCTTTTGCCAATTACATAGTCCATGAATGACGAATAATGACGGCGAGCACGTTTAAGCCATGCAGCAAATCGGTTGTTGCTCGTCCATAGTCGTACGCGTTTACATTTCCTCCTATCGCGAAGTCCAGCCATGAAAACATCACACAAAAACAACTCATTAAAACGAATTTTACCAATTTTGAGGGATTTATTCAAAACAACGATTTATCAGTCGCAGTTCTCAGTCGTATGCCTAAGGAAGGAAGTTTCATGTTAATTTCAATATAATATGTACCTAGTTCAAAACGATTGATTGTGTCGACAGTGTCCCGGACGTGTTCTATTTCTCAAATTGTAAGTAACCTGTCCAGCGACTCAGTCCACTGACTTTTTACTGCATTACGTAAATGATCAGTGGTTATGTTTGTACTGAATTAATGGATTAGCTGGACTCATCTTGCTTTTTTGGTTTTGTAAAATGTTTATCGATTATTAGTACGACACCCTATAACTTACCTTGCCCCTTACACACCGAGCGTTCAATCCGTCTATGCTCGCCTCAGCTCGCTTATGGCACGGTTGGCGACCTCTGACCTGTCCTCGGTATCGTCTCCCCCAGCGAGCAGTCGGGGCAGCAGGAGGGAGCGATGAAGCGGGCCCAGGTGCGTCAGCGCATCGAGCAGTACTACTACCAGCTCACCGAGGGCTGCGGCGACGCCAACTGCGCCAACGCCAACTGCTGCTCCAATGTCCGGGTGAGTTATAGATTAACTGCTGCCCCAATGCCCAGGTGAGTTATAGATCAACTGCTGCTCTAATGCCCAGGTGAGTTGTAGATCAACTGCTGCTCCAATGCCCATGTGAGTCGTTCAACTGCTGCTCCAATGACCAATGTCCGGGTGAGTTGTAGTTCAACTGCTGCTCCAATGTCCAGGTGAGTCGTTCAACTGCTGCTCCAATGTCCGGGTGAGTTATAGATTAACTGCTGCTCCAATGCCCAGGTGAGTCGTTCAACTGCTGCTCCAATGTCCGGGTGATTTATAGATCAACTGCCGCTTCAATGCTCAAGTGAGTCAATCAACTTCGGTGTTGCGGCGGTCAGTAATGCCACATATTCTCCTCTGCTCAGAAAGTAACATCATACCTTGCGGTGGTCCTGCTTCCGTAATGAAACGCTGATGGAAGACTTACCATGACCAATCAACCCAGTTTTCTTTCACATCCAACGTAACTTGGGCTGATAAGTGATGTAACCTGCGCCCCTCTTGGTTCTCAAAACGAATGTAACCAGCGGAGTTTTTTTTTTTTTTTTTTTGAACGGACTCAATATTACATATTTTTTTATCTACCGTACCCTTTCGACCCGAGAGCCGCATGCTGGCTTTATCCATAATTAATTGGAGCCGCTGACCTGAGTCCTGTCTGTGCTGACCTGCCTATTTCTGTGTGCATTTCAGGTGGAGCCGCTGCCGCCGAACCAGGCGGCCGCGCGCGCCGTCCACCTGCTCACCGCCTCTGCTCCGCTCTGTGAGCCCCTGCGGCACAAGGTGCGACGCACGGCGGCCGGCCGCGGCCCGTCGCCGCCGTCCACCAGCCGGGCGGCGCCCACCCCCGCCGGAGACTCCCCTGTGGCCCAGCAGGCGGCCGCCTCGGCCGGAGCCGTCTGCTCCGCAGCCACCACCATCACCGCCGCCCCGGCCGCCGGCGCCACGGGCACGTGCAGTAAGTCGGCTGGGACTGTGTAGATGTGTGGAAAAAGTGATAGTCTGAGTTTACTTTTAGGTGTACTTTTACGCATAAGATTTATTACCTGGCTGCCTCCTTTAGTGCCTATTGGTGTTTATGACGCTCATTATTCACAAAGTTTATACCTTTGTTCGTAAACAACATGTTTAGATATTGACAACAGCCTCTGACGTCAGCATTTGCAATTTATGGCATTTTTAGAGCTGGTAAAGTTTTACGTAAAGAAATATTCATATCCATTTCAATATACTTTGACTAGGAACCAGAATCCCTTAAAATCAGTTTTTACTCTTGCTGCTTCCCGCAACTGCGACTACTTTGTCCGTTTTGCGTCGCGGCCGCCCGTTTGCCGATCAGCTGTTTGGAGGGCAGGGTCGGGGGCGAGCTGGCTGTTATCCCAGTGACGTCACGATCAGGCCCGGTGCCAGCCTCCTTTGTGTCCACACGGCACGTCACGACGTCCTTACAACAGTCAGTGCGGCGGTGACGCGTGTCTAGGGAACGGAGTGCGCTGATCACTCGTAGAACATTGTGTGAGATCTTTAGAAACTCGGCTTGTTGCTGGTCCCTCATGCGCGTAAGCCATTGAGACTACCAGAGGATATTGCGCAATACATTGTGTAATCGGCCGCCGTACCGTGTTGCCGACTCCGTGGTCTCAGCTGTGTAAAGTAACTTTCTGTGCTGCTCCGTCGGCGGCCGGCAGTGCTCCTTGTTTCTCTTTCTCTCTCTGCGGGGTGCGGCCACAGGGCCTGACCGGCAATGGCGCCCACCCCTTGTCGTTTCTCGACAGATAGCTCAGCGGCCTCCACCGCTACCGACCAAACCTGGAGCGCTGACCGGCTGATGACCCTAGTCGAGGAGAGCGCCCGCGCGCGAGACTACACTGCCGTCATCCGCGCCATCGGACAAATCTTCTCCGAGCCAGAGGCGCTGACGAGCTGTTTCCGTCGCGCGCCGGCCGAGCCGCCCGAGAAGGGACAGTTGGACGCCGGTGAGAAGGAGGTGGAGGGTGCGGCGGCCGCGGCCGAGCCGCCCGCGGACCAGGCTGAGCCGCCCGTGGATCTGGCGGCGGCGCGGCGGCTGTTCGCGCTGCTGTTCGCCACTGGCGACTCACCGTTTACGACCGCTCTGGTGACGGCGCTGACGACTCTGGCGGACGGCCTGCGCGCGTCGCTGCAGTTCGCGCCGGCCGGTGCGCGGTCATCGCCGGCGGACCCGGTGGCGGTGCTGCTGCTAGTGCTGGAGATCCCGGCCCTCAGCAGCTCAGAGTTCCTGGAGCTCGCACTGCCGCGGCTGTGCCAGGCGGCCGGCTGGCTGCCCACCGTCGAACAGGCCAGGCTAGTACGATTCTGGTCGCGCTACCCGGCCGACCGACTCCGAGATATGGTGCAAACACTACAGCAACTTATCTCTGTGAAGGTGATCGAACAGGAGGCTACCCGTGGCTACCAGGCCACCGACGACGAGTCGGTCACTGCGCCGGTCCGCCTGCTGAAGCTGCTCTACTACGCCAGTCTGGTGGGCGGCCGGCGCGACCCTCCGTCGGCGCGCGACGACACCCCGGAGCCAGCAGAGGCGGCCAGCCCCGGCGGACCGCTGCTGCTGGCGGCCAAGGAGTCGGGCCGGGAGCGCGCGGAGCGGGATCCCCTGGAGGTGGAGCTGGACACGCGGCCGATCGACTGCCGCGTGCCCCTGGTGGGGTTCGATGAGTTCTATAACGAGCCGCTCAGTGAGGTGGTGGAGATGGACCACGACTACCGCTACTACAAGGTGAGGGGAGAGAGTGGACAGTGATGTGGTTGACTGGGGAAGTGGGATGCGATTTTTCGAAGTTTAAGTTTTCGAAGCTGGACATCGCTGTTCATTAGATTCTTACATCCTAAGATATGATAAGCGATCAATTTGCTTTGCTGAACGTCTCATTGACCTGTTTTTAGCAACCTTTTTGATGCAAATGAGCTGGGTACTGGGTTGAATTAAGCGGCAAGAAAATTATTAAATTTGTATTCTACCTTTACTGCCTTCAACTACGTCGTGTAATTTATATTGCCCCGTTTGATTTTACGTGGGTCGTGCCCGTCCTCCGTCAGGAGTACCCGGAGCGGTTCAGTTTCATGCGTCACCCGTTCGTGCTCACACCGGCCACCAAGTCACTGGGTCTGTACTATGATAGCCGAATCCGCATGTACCACGAACGACACCTGGCCCTGGTGCATAACCTGGTACACGGCGAGGGCCAGCCGTACCTCCGGCTGCGCGTCCGCAGGGACTTCATCATCGAGGACGCACTCATCGCGGTAGGTGCCGAAATGTCTCGGGGTGCTGAGAGTCGGACGATCGGTGGTATTAGTTTGACCCTGTAAAATCTTTCAATCTACAAGTTTATTGGTTAATTATTTGGCTTTACGATTATTTTGGTCGTTTGGGGTAATCGATGTAAGAATCAAACCGTAAACTTATCGTGAATTTTGTGTCACCAAACATATTCGCTTCTTCGGTTTCATGCAACTTTCAATAGTCCTCGTTCGGTTAGTTTCATGCAACATTTAAAGACTGCTGATGTTTTCCCGTGTTTCAGCTGGAAATAATGGCGCTGGAGAATCCCGACGACCTGAAGAAGCAACTAGTCGTGCAATTCGAGGGTGAACAGGGGGTAGATGAGGGTGGTGTGTCCAAGGAGTTCTTTCAGCTGATTGTAGAGGCGATATTCAACCCTGATTATGGTGAGTTGTTAGCCCTATAACGTGTGTTTGAATGTTATGTTGTTTCTTCTTTTTTTTGCATTTCTGGTTTGAAGATTGTTTTTATGATATCAGTGTCCATTACAGGTGCTCGTTGTTGATATTTTCAGATTTTGCTCTAGATCGCCCTTATTACGGTTCAGAACCACATTCGCTGGTATCGTGACATGATAAGTATGTTTCGCTTTTTTCTGACCCACAAATCATTGTCTCGTAACGGCTTCGCCCTCTCGTGCCCACAGGCATGTTCACATACAGTGAGGAGACGCGAGCTTACTGGTTCAACCCCACATCTTTCGAGAACGACGCCCAGTTCACGCTGATTGGAATCGTGGTCGGCCTGGCGCTCTACAACAACGTGATCCTGGACATGCGGTTCCCGATGGTGGTCTACAGGAAGCTGATGGGCCAGAAGGGCACCTTCGAGGACCTGGCAGAGCTTAGCCCGGTGAGTGGCACGGCGCAGCACAGTGGGAGCAAGCTGGATAGTGGTGGAGACGGCGGGGTGGGTTTGTACATACTACATAGATTGTCCAGAACAGTACGTGTCCTATATTGGTGTGCTTTTGGCGTAACTAAGCTTGATCTTAAGTTGGTCTAAGCGCCTCGGGTGTTTCTGTGACAATGACGTCCGCTTCCGCCCTCCTCAGACGCTGTACCGCAGCCTGCAGTCGATGTTGGAGTACGAGGGGGACGACATGGAGGACGTGTTCATGCAGACGTTCCAGGTCGGCTACACGGACGTGTTTGGGGCCAACCTGACGCACGACCTGCGTGCGAACGGTGCCCAGATACCGGTCAACAGGAGTAACGTACAGGTGAGGAGAGATGCCAGCCAGGGGCACTGGTGGGCTGCAGGCCATGAGGATCTAGGTGTAGTCGGAGGGCCGAACTTAATGATTAGTGCACTTTAATAGTTCCTTTTACGTTACATATTTTGTTGCGCGTTACCTGACCATTTGAGGTGAACATTTAGGAAGTGTTGTTTCGTTAACAGTTTGCGGTAAAGCTTTTCGGACCTTTTACGTCGGTGTTCAACCATTCGCAGCATTTTGGCTGCTTCGATTGAGCCATCTGCCCGCCTTCTTGTCTGTTTGCACTGTCTTTGAACTATATGACCTCTCCTTTACCACACAGTTAACCCCTCTCCGTCTCTTTGTGTGCGTTCCCAGGACTTTGCCGACCGTTACGCCGATTTCCTGCTCAACACGTCCGTGGTTCGCCAGTTCGGCGCGTTCCGGCGCGGGTTCTGCATGGTCACAGACGAGTCGCCCCTCTGGGGTCTGTTCAGGCCGGACGAGGTGGAACTTCTAGTCTGTGGCAGCAAGGCGAGTACGATAGAATATGAGGATGGCATGATATTCGCCCTGTGACATGGTTTAAGCATGGTTATGTGAAATTGTTAAGCTTGTGTTTGAGATCCGCGTGTACGCTTGCTGAGAAGGGGTGCTGGCGAGCGGCTTATCGAGCGCGATGGGCGTGGGATGGATGGCTGAGTTATGTTGCCTATCAGAAGCATAAATTAAGCTCATAGCCAAAACTGAGCTAAATCCAAACACCAAGATGCTCTGACTAAGGCGTTTTCAGAAGTGCAGTTATGAAATAACAGTGACTTATGAAAGCCCACTTTTCGGCAAAATTTCGCCCGCTAGTACACGGTCAATCAATCAGTCGTCGTTCCCTCCCCACGTAACCCGCATTTACCTGACCTCACCTGCCCTCTGTCAGGACTACGATTTCCACGAGCTGGAGGCGGGCACCGAGTATGACGGCGGGTTCAGTCGCGACTCGCCCACCGTGCGGAACTTCTGGCGTGTCGTGCACGATGATATGAGCGACGACGACCGTCGGCGACTGCTGGAGTTCACCACCGGGTCGGATCGGGTGCCGGTCGGCGGCCTGCGCAAACTCAAACTCATCATCGCACGCAACGGACCCGACTCGGAACGGTAGGTTTGACGAGGGAGTTTAGAGACTCAGCAGAGGGATGGGGCTAGGAGATTTGGAGAGAATATTGAGGTACAAAGTTGGCTGTTGGTTGTCACGGAGCACTATGCTAGCAGTGATGGGAGGCGTGAAAGAACGGAAGTCGTTCCGCTCGTCCTAGCTGTCTAGAGTACAATTTTGGTCCGTGAGATGACACACAGATACAGCTGCTTGTTATCTGATCATGATCATTGCTAATTATCGTGATCGGGTGTTCGATGAGCGCGGTGTTCCCTGTTCTGCTCTGCTCACGTAGCAGCCAGTGACCGGACTCCTCGCCTCCCCACTCAGGTTACCCACGGCACACACCTGCTTCAACGTCCTGCTGCTGCCCGACTACAGGACGCGCGAGAAGCTGCGGGAGCTGCTGCTGAAGGCCGTCAGCTTCAGCAAGGGGTTCGGTATGTTGTAGCCGGTGCGGTACGGACGGGCCGCCGGGCACGGGCTCCGGCCGCCCGGGCCTCACTACTGCCCAGTCTGCCAGGGGCCTTCACTGTCGGGGCAACAGTCTGCCATGCTTGCGAGACGCTTTACATTATGTGTGCCGTTGTATGATCGATGAAATAAATGTGCGCGTATTATGGAAATAACACTTTTCTGAGAGGTCTTGGTAATTTGTGTACTCCTGGATGATTTGATTTGGAGGTTTCTTTTTGCAATCGCATTTTGCAAGTGGCTTGTCAATTATTTCAAACACAATCACCAATTTTCTTACCACCAGTTCAATGTGCTTCAAGTTTTAACGACTCTGGACTGAATTCGAGCTGGGCCTCAGCTGCCTAGAGTACCGGGTTTTACTTATTTCAGCCTGCCTGTGTAAAACAAGACTATCCATCAGTGGGTTTCAGTGGAAGGTAATTTAGCTAAGGGCCACCGCATGAAGTGTCTGTTTATAATCGCTTCTCCGATATGCGAAATATGTTGTGCAAGTGAAGTGATTTTTTTTGTACGGTTTATTCCTATCATTTTTCTTGCACGCAATATCGCAATATTCCCATCGGAATGAAGTATTGTTATTGCCGAAGTCACGTGCTAGATAGTGAATATCAGCTGCATTTGCGAACGAGTTGTATTTTGTCTGATTTTTTTTTTTCTACAGGGTTGGCGTGTTTATTTTTATGATCGTAGTCCAAAGTCAATTCTGGTTATATATCATAGTGTAGGAAATAAATTTTTGTAAGCCCCTTGACCTCACTTTGCTTTGGGGCTGATACAAAATGTCCACAACGTATAAAACCGAAGTGAGGCACATCGGCGATTGCAGATGCGGTGAAAGTGTGAGGACATTGGGCTCAGGAGCTCCATTCGACTATGCATATCGGCCAAGCGTTGGAGCGGACAAATACTCCCCAGGGGTCACTATTCCAGGAAATGCCACAACATTTTGGGAGAGAAGTGCTGTTGGCAACCAACAGCTATGTCCTCCCATTAGGGCGACCGCCCAGAATGTATCCCACAGCAGGTATACGGTGTCGGATTGGCAGCAGGCCAACTTCGACAGCCTGAATAAATCAGAAGGAAGGCGAGTTGTCGGAGAACAAGTGAGAAGCGACTCGCTTCGAATTATGCGTGATACTGATTGCATTGTATCACATGGACAGCACGAGTCAACTCAACGCCTTGGCGAGAGAATAGGAGATGTTAACTACTGGCGCCATGAAGTGGTGCATGAGCTGGAAATGAACGTCGCCGAAACGGAAAAATTGGAAGAAATGAAACGGCAAGCGGAATGTCTCCTTCGTGAGCTAGAGAACCCTCTTAGGATAGTCCAGGAATGTCTGTACGCTCGCGAGGGAAGAATGGGCATTGACCAGGTGCACGACGATGTTGAGGTTGGACTAAACCGTGAGATTGACGTCATCAAGTCAATTCAAGAGCGTCTTTGTCGTATGCTGGAGCGCATCGCTCAGGCTCTGCAGGATCTGGCAGAGACGAGACAGTGCCTTGAGCGCGACTCTCTGGACAAGTTCTCGGCGCTCCACATCGACAAGTACTCCCACGGTCTGAAGAACACGTCGCCAGGAATCGCCCTGTACCCGGGCATCGAGAAGTCAGACAGAACCATGAGCACCCCCGAGTCCTGGATGGACTACACCGTGCGGCTGGTGCAGCGCTCGCAGAACTCGCGCGCAGAGAGCTCGCGGCTGCGCGCAGAGGCGAAGAACCTCGTCAATGCCTCTATCAACGAGCTGTGGCAGGCGTGGAACAACACCAACCAGGCGCTGAAGCAGCGGGTGCAGCAGACGCAGGACGCCAAGAACAAGATCCAGGTGGAGCTGTCCCGTCTGATCCAGGAGATTGCCGACCAGGAGAAGTACCGTCAGGCGCTGCAGAAGGCGCTGGCCGACAAGTGCCCGCCGCTGAAGGTGGCGCACACGCGGCTGGAGCGGCGCACCCACCGGCCCTGTATGGAGCTGTGTCGAGACAATGCCATGCTGCGGCTGCAGGGAGAGGTGGGTGACATTTACGGCTCTATCGACCAGCTGAAGCAGAAACTGGCCGACACAGAGGCCGCCATAGCGTCGCTGCTCGAGCAGAAACACCAGATGGAGGATGAGCTGCGCGTCAAGGCCAACACGCTGCTGATCGACAGGGAGCGGGTGCTCGGCTCCCGGCGCGCCTTCCCCATCGGATCGGTCATCACAAAGTGCGGTTAACAAGCTCTAGCCACTGTAAACAGTGACATTGAGGTGTGGTGGTTTTGGTCCCATACATTTTACCGGTCCTTTTGGGTGCTAACGCAGTGATCATCATGCTGCTTAGCTTTTTTTTTTGTTCTGTGTCAAATTAGTTTGTGAACTAAGTCCAATGCCATTCCCAGCTACCTAAAAAGGTGCTCGATTACTTTTTAGATGCCGTATGATGTGGCGCAAGATCAGTTCCCCCAACACTTTATCAACAGCAAGACACGTCTGTCTCTGTCATCTGTGTGGTTTTATATAAAGAAGTAATTGAAATTACCTTTTTGTCGTTGCAAAAAATTGATGTCCGGGTTAGGTAAAAGTAAACACGTCCCAAGGATATATTTCATAGTTTTCTGAGCCCATTATCCTCTACTTGTTTACGTTCACAAATAGCAATGTGTTATCCGAAGATACCATGAGCCACTCCAGCCACCCATGTACCGATGCTGGTCACTTGGAGACTCCCGTGTGCCGGGCTTTTCTCGGCCGCGGACTGCCTGGGAGGTATGCTGTTCCGCTGAACACGACTGTACTGCGGGTCAGTCTACCAGCGCAGGCATTATGCTCCGTGGGCCAGCATACGCCGCTGGGCTCTGCGCTGTCTCAATGAAATGCGGATTACGAAGTCACGCAGCACGTTTTCACGTAAACGGAACTCGAATAGCGACATGAGTCGGTTCCAACAGTTTCTGGCAAAAATAATGCAATTAGATTTGCTACCTATTATTACCCTTCGCCTCAGCTCCCGCATCGCTACGCTTCGTCGTCCATCAACACTCATCGGCCCGTGCGTGACGTCTCAGTTGCAGTAGTTCTCTTCATTTTTATTTTGTTAATGACATTGTTTTATAGCAAATCCCAGAAATGCCAGTTTTCAAGTTCAAGGTGAGCTCCAGCTTTGAAACCTTTATGTTCGTAATTCGTACTGGGACGACGGGGGTTAAAATATCAAAGGAATTAGGTATATTGCCAAAAAAGAAACATTATAGTGTGCTGCTAGATTTACCATGTCACCTTGTGCAGCTTCGGATAGCTAAATCCGCACCTTTTTACGCCCAATTTAAGCGGTAGTGCACACATTTCAAGAATACTTCAGGTGCAGGTGACTTCAACAGTACGACATACATATATAGTCTGTCTATGCCGAACAGTCGAAATCAGCATTCAGTTGCAATATTAGGGGAGAGTGGGGAAAGATGCCCAGGGTTTTACTATGTCAGATTTTATTCGAAAATGACGATCGGAAAGCAAAAACTTGGAGTTTCAACGGAAGCCGACATCATTTTTCTCCAAAATTATCACACTTTCGTGCCTGAAATATGATAACTTTTTTTGCTATTAAGCATTTCCCTGAGGAAGTGAAAGGGGGCATCTTACCCCACAGGGTGGGAAAGACGCCCCCTGGCGTTGGGTAAGATGCCCCCTGCACTATAAGTGACATAAATGGGCACGTGAATCGCCTGAACGAATCAGCAGTCCCTTCGAGCCTGCAGTAGACACCAAACGTCATCGTAAGGGCCCTCAAAAGTAGTCGTAAGGGGCTTCAGAGGTCATCGTTAGGGCCATCATAGTCCAGCGCGGCCAAACAAGCCTCCGTGGTGGCATTCGGAGACCACTGTGGGGCCCTTGTAGGTCTTCATGATGCTTGAGGGCCCTCGAGCCCATCGTGTGGACCCCAGATGCCAGCGCGGCCCGTGGAGCCAACGTGGGAGCCCTCAAAGGATGTCGTGAGGGGCCCACAGAGGCCGTCGTGAGGGCTCTCAGTCAGATGCCGCCCAAAAAGTCGTTGTATGGGCCGAAAGACCGGCATGGGGAGCACCCGACCGAATTGGACTCTCAATAGTCCCAGATCGGCTTTTGTCTCTAATCACAAGTATAATAAATGATTTGACGGGATGCTTGAAAGACAGCCTACGAATTTAGGGGGGCGTCTTTCCCCATCAGGACAGGGGGCATCTTACCCCAAGGTACCGAAGTAACATTAAATCAGTACAATTTGTTAGCCATAAAACTACACCCTGAAATAAACTGTTTGGGACACAGTACACGCATGTTAATGTATCACGACTATAGCAAGGGACGCAAAAATTATCTACCTTCTTTGATATTTACAATGTTTTGACACCAAAATATTTTTTGAAAGCAGCAAATAAAAAACATGCAATCACCAGCCAGCCGTTGCCCAACTGAGCTTCGCAAATTTGTGTGCAGTTAACAAGGCAGGCTTCCGCTTTACGCTAGGAACATTAATTTCCAGGTTCGATTCTTTGTTTCGCCGCTAGAGGGGGTGGGGCGTCTTTCCCACCCTGGGCATCTTACCCCACTCTCCCCTATTGAACTGTGTGCGCTGCAGCGCTCTGTCTACATTTGGCCGTAAAATGGTGTACCACCACCACCGCATGGTATGTCCGTCACCGCAGCGAGTAAAAAGGCACACGATTGATATAAATAACTTTATTGACGATGAAAAAGCAAACGCTTGTTGGGGCCTGCCAGCGGACCGGACTCGGTGAGCTGAGAGTCGAACAGACGGAGGAAAGAGAGCACCGCCTAGACGCCCCCTCCACCACCGCGCAACCAACCCAGCGTGACTGGCCCCCGAGGGTGCCCCTGTGAACGGACCAAGGCACTGCGGGACCGGCCGGCCGGCCGCCGCCCCGGCACCCGACCCGCCCACTGCCGCCGCCGCGTGCGCACAGGGTGAAAACCGCACCGAACATGACTCGGAATAAGGCAAAACAAGCGCTGGGACGACGCGCATGGAGTATTGATATGCATAACTCTGTGCACTTGCACGCGCGCGGCGCAGTCGGGCGGGCCGGAGGTTGAGGATCAGCCGGCGCGGGCCCGTCGGTGGTAGTGGAGGAGGCGTCGTCAGCGCAGCAAAGAAAGGCTGCACGCCGGCTAGGACCAATGCGTCGGCGGCTCGCCGACTGCTGACAGTCACTAGTTCACCGACCGGCCGCCGCGTGGCGCTGCGGTCGTCTGGGCAGTCTGTACTACGAGCTAGAAACGGCCGTGCCGCCGGGTAGGGGCAGACTACAGAGGGAGGGAGGAAAGAGGGAGAGACAGAGAGGAGCCAGCTGCACTCCAGAGCGCCTCTCCCCCAGCGGGGTCGGCAATGCTGCTCCAGAGGTGGCCACATCGGCCTCAGCACGAGTCAAACCCGAACAGGACAGAAAGAACACCGGCCGAGTCCACTGATCAGTCAGAAAGCGCGCTCGCGAGTGAGAGAGGGAAGAATGAAGGTGGTGAAGGCTGTGGTGAAGGAGCGAGAAGAAAAGGAAAGAGAGATAGAGAAGGAAGAAGAAGGAGGAAAGAGAGTAGAGGGGGAGAGACGGGAGGGAGGCAGGAAAAAGGATAGACGGGGAGGGAAGAGAGGAGAAATAGAGGAGGGAGGGAAAATGAGGGAAGATGAGGCCAAGTCGGCATGCACCATCGACGCGGCATTCGATGTACACGCGGCAAACGCAACAAGCCGCCCCTCGGGATGGCATCGCAAAAAGAGACGGCAAAAGTGCATAACGACTGGCACCTGTCCGCAGCCACCCGACACAAAACAATTTGATTATACTCTGAAAACGCCACTTCTCATATGTCTGCCGATACGCACGTACCCATAACAATAACCGCGGCAAGAACGCGAGCCCGATACAATATGACAGACCGATCGGAACGGACAGCGCCTCCACGGGAGACGCAAAGACAAACCCAATGTCACACAGAAAAATAGCCCCCCGCTCCATGATTTCACCAAAACTGGGCGATATGATATTCGTAAAACCAGCCAGGTGTGTCGAGTGTACGGCGCCGGTGTCCGCCGGGACGGCCCGGGGCCGCCGCGCGGTCTCTCAGGTACGGTGTGTGTGTGTGGGTGGGTGTGGGGACTGGGGTGTATGCTGGCCGGTACTAGGAGAGCTGGCTGGTGGACCGAGGGTCTCCGTCTCCGGCGGCTGGGGGAGAGGCTCGTGTCTCGCTAGCTCGGAACGGGACAGATGCAGAGGGGAGAGAAAGAGAGAAGGATGGATAGGTAAAGTTCAACAATGCGGGCCGACTGCCCACGTTAACAATGGCAATGTAGATAACTGTAGACATTATCTATTTACAGCACTATGTACAACGGCATAAGAAATCCAATATAAAAGTGTATGATGGGCTACTCTCGAAGAATCGTCGGATACGCAAGAACGAGTCAAGAGATCAAGGGGTCTGCCGGGGTAAATGATGCACAATTTAATATCGAGCACCCGACGCTGACTAGTAGATTGGACAAGTCGCTGGTTTCAAGAGCGACACATTGCTAGACCGCTCCATACGCAGTAATCCGACGGATCCCTAACCGCACACCCAGAGTCCAGCCCTAGTGTCGATGCGTGTCCGGCCTGACAGCGGCAGCTCGGCTCGGGGACGGCCACCCGCCTCTCCGCTGGGCCGCCCCGCTGCGAAAGACACAGCGCGCGGGCGCGTGTGTGTCGGTGGGGGCGTGCCGGCGGCGGGGCGCAGGTTTGAGCGGGGTGCAGGAACGCACTGGTGACGTGGCTGGAACATATGACGTCATCAAAGGACGGAGCAGCGCTGCCGTTTGGCACTAGAAGTGCAGCTTCCTCGGCGACTCTCGAACATTTCCCTCTGCCCAGCTAAAATTTGATCCAGCCCACAAAGGCTGGAGTGATAGAGTTTTAATCCAATAACATCGGCTCACATTACCAGCTCTATAGCTTGACTTCAAAGTAATTTCGTCTACGAAATTCAGCACTGACAAGCCATCTGGCTGATGCAGACTTGCTACGGGTGTGGCTGGTTCCATTTCCCAGTTGCACCTCTCTTTGGCACAGCGTCGGCGCGGCGCCCGCCGTCCCTGGAAGCGGCTGCGGTGCGTGCGCCGCCGATGCTCGCCGCGGCCCGTATCACAGGGGTGGAAGTGGCGGCGCCGCGGCCCACTCCCAGGCGCACTCCAAGACGCGCTCGCAGGCTTCGCCGCGCGTTGAGCTCAACAGGAAGCTTGGCACTTGACTCCGTTTCGTGCAGCGAAACAGAGGGACGGCGTCTGCAAAAACGAGAGCAGAAAAGGTCATTTTATCTCGTTTTTTTCTGCGAAAAATATGCATCGTGAACGTCATATATGTGCCGAAAGGCTGAGCAGAAGTTGGTCTCAAAAACCAAAACGTCGGGGTGCTCTTCTCACCTACTGTCAGACGTCTGTCTCGATGCTGATGGCGTTCACGTTGTTGTTGTGCCGTGACGCGCAGTTCAACTTCGAGGTCATCTCGTGACACATCAAGTTTCCCTCCTCCAGATCAACTTCGGAAGACGACTCTGACAGCGAGTCCTTCTTTCCCTGACCTGCACAGGAGGAGGGGTCGAGGGGAGGGGTCAGGAGCGCCCAGAGACAGCCACTGCGCTGTATTAATGAGACCGTTACTGAGACAGGAGACCACCATCCTGCACGGAGTACGACCAATTAAGACATGTAATTACCATGCGTGATAGCAAAATAACGAGCGACATTAGCGTACAGAGTGGCATCTCACGACAGCAATTATCGTAGCCGGCGGCACTGTCATTATTGATACGATGCTGAGAAGAGAAGAGAAGACGGCATAATAGACGTTTACTGGTTGAATCGAGCATCCGTTTACGCTCCTTATATAGCGAACATAACTATATGCCTGATTGCGATGCTGTCACAAATCTGTCTTTTACACGTACCAGTAACCAGTAGTTCTTATTTGACGTTTCCTGGTACAGGTCGTTTTATGCACGCCTAAGTTCTTCGATACGAAATAACGATAACATGCTATAAAACGTCAATGCTCACCGACAGTGCCGGGCAGGTATGGACAGCTGGTGACGTGGTTGAAGTTGCACGACTGCATCTCCTCCTGGTCCGTCTCGCGGTGGTAGAAGTAGTTGAAGTTTGACACAATGACCGGCACGGGCAGCGCAATGGTCAGCACGCCGGCAATGGCGCACAGTGAGCCGACAATCTTCCCCCAGACGCCGACCGGTCTGTGGCAGACGCAGCGCGTTATCGGCGCCATAAGTGGCGCGGCAGAGACACGGTGATCAGTACGGCAGTGCAAGTGAGCCAGTGACAATACTGTACACGTCAAACGGTAGCATTAAAATTTCCATGTTTGGGATTTTGCTTTATAAAAGAATCTGTAATTTGTGATTAATGTGGCATTTTTGGCAAGTGACGGTTATGGTATGCAAGCGAGTTTTAAAGCTGAATGAATGGAGAATTAATGCGATAGTTTATTGTTAATCGTTTTACTATCGCACACTTAGAACAAAAACGTTTGCCTCGCACAACAATATACACTTTCGGCCGTAGCTGCCTACAATTCACCAAGCTACCAAATCGAACTCAAGAGCTGAAAACAAGAGCCTTCCTACCGCTAAAATACATAATGCACAGCACCAACAAGACACCAGCACCAACGATCAACTTACAACCCGGTATTAATTAGTAACTATGTATAGATTTCTCTCGAGATACACGTCCTAAGGACGCTCATGCTAGACTGTACCCTGCATACGACTCAGAACCGTCGTTATTGATATAAAATATAAGCATGCGGAATGAGGAAAAATCATTCACTGTATTTTGTGATTCATAAGCAACCTGGTGAAGCAGCGTCGTGAAGAACGAGGGTGAGGCAAGTGTCATCTATGAATGTAGCAGAACCACGGGCAAGAAAATATAAAAATCATGACAATTCAATAAAAATGTTGATAAAAATGCGTTGACGTGAGTCCTCGGGCTACCATTCGAAATAGGTTCATGTGTCACTGCAATAGTGTAGCATTGCAACTATACAAGGACTCTTTGTCGATATTCGCTGCATTCCGTGCCAGTCGGTCGCCAGTGCGCCCCGCTGTGCTGACCTGCGAAATGCTAAGCCGCGGCGCTCAAACGCCGTGGCCGGTGACGCCAGCGCAATGTCGAAACGCATGGTGCTTGTATGGAGCCTGTCGTTTTGCTGGCGTGCCACCGCGCCCTCAGTCGCCCATCAGCCCCGTCTACCATGCGAGAAAGACATGCAAAGCGCTGTGGAAAGACCGGGGGCATGCCGAACGGCACTGCCGGCCGCCCGAGCGCGCGCTAATCGAACCGCATGCCACCCAAAGCTAGCAGGCAGCCGAGAGGGCCGGCCGGACGCCGGCTCCCCTCTCTGTCTCGCCCGTTTTTCTGCGTACACCATGTCGCCGTATCCGACGGTGGTCATGGTCACCACGGCCCACCAAAAGGCGTCCGGGATCGACTTGAACAAAGAGCTCTCCGAGCCGGCCTCGGCGAAGTATACAGCGCTTGAGAACAGAACGACACCTGTAACACAGCGACAGGGGTCGGGTCAGCCGGGCCGGGTACCTCATGTCGCCGTATCCGACCGTGGTCATTGTCACCACCGCCCACCAAAAGGCGTCCGGGATCGAGTCGAAGTTGGAGTTCACGTTGTTCACCTCGGCAAAGTAGACAGCGCTCGAGAAGAGCACAACACCTGGTGGAATAACAGGCCAGCGCAGGTCAGAGCGAGGTCAGGTCACACGGGGTCAGCGAGGAGTCGGGTCATACTGGTTCAAACTGGGTCAGAACGGAGAGGGAAATCAGGTAATTGGGTACACTACATGATGACCCATCGGTTAGATAAAAAAGACTAGTGACGTCTAGCCTTAAGGCCAGATTGGGTCTAATTCTAGGCCAGGGCGAGGGCTCTATCAACCATGGTTTGTAAGCTAAATTATATAGATGACAGCTAAATGCTGGTCAGAGTAAAGTTAGATCTCAGCCGGGATGTGGAGAAGTTCGACGCTGCAAGCTGGCATCACATCAATTGGTCTAAACACAGGGACACAGCGGGCCATGTTGGTGCGTTTCTTTGTGACCTAGGTTGGAGTGCAAGATAGTGCAAGATAGGTTGGAGTGCAGCCAGTGCTCAGATAAAAATATAGGTTGTGAATGAGATTGTTAGAAATCCAACGGGTATTATTTCTGATTGACAATAGGAAAAGACCAGTTACAGAAATGTTAGCTAAATCGACGACAGTTGAATACGATTTTTAGCATCAAAATATTTGAATAATAATTGCTCACCGTTTAGTAATCTTATATGGATCGAGTATACTAGCATCACATACTAAGCAGCGATAAACGAGAGAAATGAAACCAGCTGACAGGTTGTTTCATTTGCTGCACTGGACTTCCAAGACTTCCAAGGAGGGACTACGTCTGCTGGGAACAGCCCTCCTGAAACGCGTGAGCCATGGATTCTCTTAGTCGACGGTCAAAAGCTGTTCAGAGCCATTCGTGATTCTATAAAGAAAGCTGCAAGCCTTCCACTCTGAATAAGTTTTGTCTTGCTGCGGTATTTCTAAAATTTTGGAAAGATTCCAATCTAAAATAGGGACTCTAGTATTTCAGTCCCCTAACGCTTTATATCCTATACCTGGGCGAATCGAGATCTTCCTGGAGGAGATAAGGAGTTGGGATATCATATCCGCGGCAAGCGCGGAACTCTTAGCTCGGAGTCCGACACCCAGGGAGCTCTCAGCTGTGGATTCCGACACCCACGGACTCTCAGCTGTGGATTCCGACACTCACGGAACTCTCAGCGGCACATTCCGACAGCCTGCTCCCGTCGCGACACCGACTGTGTCCCTCCCTTCCCTCTGCCCACCCCCGAGTCGCCGCCGCCCAGCCCAACAATCAATACCTCTGCAAAGGCACGGCGAATTCGGCGGCACTCCCCGTTTCACCCCCGCCCGCCCGCGAGTCCTGTAACCGACTCGCCAGCCCCACCCAGCTTCATAGGTACTGACATATTCCACCGCCCGGCGCCCTCCCTCAGCGCTCAAGCATATCGCATCAAACGCGCTCTTCGCTTAAACCCAATTAGACATCGTCTACTCATACTGCAAAGAAATCATCCAGACATCTCACAACGCATCGCACTTTTCTTCACGACAAGTCGCCAGATACATAGCCCTCCCGTAATACCTATAATCCATCCAGACACATCGTACCGTACCACCATCCCTCAACGCCTCCAGGCCACCGAACCTGTCTTAACACCCGCACTCGTCGCCCAGAAATATATCGCTCCGCCTTGCCGGCCCTCATTGCCCGGAATCCGCCAGTGACATCGCGTAGCCCACGGTACTGCCGGAAATCCGTCCAAATAAATGGCACTGTTCGCCCTTCAAACTGCCCACACACCAGAACGCACCCTCCGCTGCCTGAGACAAAAGTAGGGTAGGACGTCTACGCATCTACAACACGCCCGGGCCCTCTTGTCATTCCTGGTTCTGCACTAGACGAGGCCCGCACTTATCTATGCTGAATTTATCTTTATCTTTTATCATCGGCCGTGACGCGGCATCGTCACTTCACGACACTGCAGTTTACACTGAAGCTCTTAAAACACCTTTTACATTTGTCAGGTATGCGCGCCTTCACACTGTTTTATTTCTTCTGCAACATCAGTTCTTGGTCAGGTGAAATCAGGTCAAATTCCTGTTCGCTGTTTCCGGAGTCTACCGTGCCCCCTACACCCCAACCCGACATTGTCCTACTTTGCCACTCCCCTGCCACCAATCCACCGGCCTCGCCCCTTACATCGTCCTGCAAACCCCGCCATAAAACATCGGCCTGCTCCACCCACCTCGAACACTGCCCCCTCCCCTCCCCCTGTCCCCACCCCTCGACGGCGCCCTCCACCATCAGCTGATTTGCCGTGCGCTCTCTGCCGCCCCTTGAGCAGCCCCCTGTCGCCGTCGCCGCTGTCTTTGTGCTTCTGTCGCTGACGGCGGGCGCGGACGGAAGCCAGAGGAGCCTCTCGGCTGTCCGGTGGCCGGGACGGGCCCGGTCAGATCGAGGGCAGATCGTGGCCAGCCATGTGGTGCCGCCTCCGCCGCCGCCGCCCGGCCGGTGGTAGTGGTGGCGGCAGTATCGACCCGGTCCGACGATGCCGCCGCCGCCGCCACAGCGCGGGCAGAGCGGTCTCGAGCGTCACCGAGGTACCCGGGGCGAGCCGGTGACGGTCACCGAAGTACCAGGGTACCAGGGTACATACCAGGTTACCGAGGTGATGGTACTCGAGACATGAACGGCACACGAGGATGCGGATACAGCTCTGGTAGCGGCGTAATGAGAGAACTTTGGTGGTAGTCGGAAATCCCTGAACGATAAAATGCTACAATAGGTCACACAAAATAATGGACAACTACTGGGGAAAGCATAACTCCATATGCTGGTAAGGTTTCTCTTTTCAGAATGAATGCATTGAGCCTCAATACCAAAATGACTTGCAGACAACATATACGCAGAGCAGCACTGAAGGCATTCATTCTTGACAACCCGGTCTAGCCGTTCGCTATTTCATTCGCCCATTGTTTCATATTGCCAATTGCTTGATTGTCTCTTCAGCGAATTTCCATGGCGCAGAAGTTAATGCTCATACCTGCATTGAGTCATGTGAACAATTTTATTCTCGTTACTTTTTGGCCTTTTTAGTTACGTAGGTATCACGAAACGTGTATGTCAGATGAAAAAATAAATTCTATGAAAACCCATCGATCGAAAGTCCATGTCGATAACACATAAAATGGATAGATGCAGTTTTTATAACAATATATCCGATTCATCATGCATGAAAAGTAGGTACATTGGAATATTGTGATGCTGCCTATAACTTGTACCTACTGCGCTGCTATCCTGTGATTGCTGTTCATAGAGCCATAAGGCATAGAAAATGAGCATGTCCTTGGGTGAGGGATGTCAATACTCATGACTGGGCTTACCCTGTCCCTCTCCTCTCTCATCTCTCTCTCTCTCGCTCTCTCTCTCTCTCTCTCTCTCTCTCTCTCTCTCTCACTCTCTCTCCATCTCTCTCTCTCCATCTCTCTCTCCCTCTCCTGTCTCCCTCTCTCCCTTCCCTCGTCTCTCTCTCTCTCTCTCTCTCTCTCTCTCTCTCTCTCTCTCTCTCTCTCTCTCTCTCTCCACCGTCTGCGCGCGCTGATCATTCATTTCGGCTTTAATTTGCGCCCACTCAGGCTCCAGTCGGGTGTGCAGGTAATCAGTACAGCCAGGGACTGCCGTCCGGCAGACCAGGCCGGGCAGAGGAAGGGAGCAGACGGAGATAGAGGGCGGAGTGATCAGATGGAAGGAGAGGCCAGAAGGTGGCAGCGGAGGGGACGACCAGGAACGGCGAGAGGGGAGTGATTAAGATGAGCATAAGCCGGAGTGACCTGGTAAATGCAGAAAACGTTGTGACGAAGGGCACCAGAGTGCTTATTGGCTTGGGGCAGAAAGTGAGGACAAGAACGGAAGGGAAGAGACATTTCATTTGCTTTTCCCGTTCCTTACAGTTCGTCCCAAAATTTAGCAAATAGGCTGCACTTTCGGACGCTCTACCCGCGGCCTCTGTGCCGCGTTCGCAGTACATAAACTGCGCCGGTAATGGTCCCCCTGATGACAGACGCGACGAAAATAGCCGGTAAACAAAGACCCACTGCTTAAATGAAGCTCAAGGCAAGCCGCTGTGAGTGTTTACGAGGTACATCGATCTTTTATCGCTGGGCAACCAGCCACGCTTACACTGATTTTACACTTACACCCAAAGATAGCCTACAAATACAATGAACAGGCTTGTATCATAATCACCGAGTAAGGAAAAAACACCACTGACGCTAGTGGACACAAAATATGTAATTAATAGAATATGTTATGCAGACTTTGAGGATTGAAGGTACAAACCGTTCAGGAAGAAATGATCAGAAGTGAACTGAAGTGAAATCAGAAGTGTCATTTTGTGCAGCTCAGGCTTTGACTACGTCGCTCAATATTGCCAATAACTGCCATTAACAACTGTCAGTTCCAGTCTAGCGGAACTGACAGTGGAATGTCTAAAAAGTGGCAGCTTTTAATCTTAACTCACGGCATGCAACTCCCTGGAGGTCGCAGAGGCGTTGCGTGTACCGTTCCCCTAGCTACTTTAAATTCTCTCCATAGATGGCGGTAGTGGTGGTCGCCTGACATGATACTGTGCCGCAGTGCTCCTGCGTCTGAAAGGCGCGGCGCGGCGGGTGGCGCGGGCGGAGCGTCTGAATTGGGGTGGGACTGATAAGGTGCGATACACCACTGACAGCTTTGGGCCATAAAAGGATCACTTGTTCATACATAGAGATAGTTATGGGTAAATGACAAACCCAACAGACTGTGAAGTGGCCAGAGATAGGGGCTAATACGTGCATGACCAGAACTTCACATCACAGGCGGGATGCGTACCTGACAAGATCTGCCGATGCTGTGGTGAGCTACTCATGAATTTACATAGCCTTATATGATTTTCATGAGCATGAGAAAACATTCTCACAGAGCTAGTTAATGTAATCCGGCATATTTCCAGACGGGTACTCAGGCTGCCCAAATTCTTCGTCTGCAAAGTCCAACGTTACTTCTTATTGGTTCGGTCATGAAATAATAAAGAAAGGAAACATTTATCCAGCACCCAATTCATTGTCCCTTATTTTTTTTCGTAGACTCGGTTAGGTATTCATCAACATCATCAAAACAATGGAAGGTGAGAGATGAATATTCATAATGAAGTTAGCATGAAATAGCCTCTTCTAAATAAAGTTTGAACTAAGATGCAGGATTGCAGGGTAAATAACTAGCAACATACAATTCATGACACCACACAGCACAGGAATTAAACACTTCTTTCCGACCATAAGCCCCCATTCCACCCTGCCCACGAACACGCGGCGCCCGATCCCGCCACGTGCTGGCCTTACCTATAAACAAGAAGAAAATGAGCAGGCCCAGCTCCCGCATCGATGCCTTGAGTGTCCTCCCTAGGATCTGCAGGCCCTTCGAATGCCGCGACAGCTTGAATATTCGGAACACTCGCACGAGCCGTATCACTCGGAGGATAGCCAGCGACATGGCCTGGTTTGTCCCAGTCTCGGCGCCCGGCACCGTCGGCTTCGGCGTGGGCGCCACTGTCTCGTCCTCTGCCACCACCGTCGCCAGCGTCAGAAAGTAAGGAATGATTGCCACCACGTCAATGATGTTCATCACGTCACGGCAGAAGCTGACCTTGTTCGGACAGGCGGCGAACCGCACCACCAGTTCGAACGAGAACCAGACGATACAGATTGTCTCAATGAGGAAGAAGGGATCGGTGATGGCCGGCACCTCGTCCTCCTCGACGATGGTGAAGTTGTCGCTGCCCCGGTACACCCGGTAGTGTTTGAACTCGGGCAGCGTCTCCAAGCAGAAGATGACGATGGAGAGGAGGATGACCGTCACGGAGATGATGGCCACCACCCGCGCGTTCTGTGAGCTCTCCGGGTACTCGAACAGCAGCCACAGCTTGCGCTGGTACTTGTTGTTGGGTAGCGGCCGCTCCTCCTCCTTGATGAAGCCTTCGTCCTCCCTGCGGAGGAAATGGAGGTCAGTGCTCAGCCGTGATGCCTCTGATTGAGTGATACACAAGAAATTGCTTTATGAAGCGCAGGCTTTTTGAAAAGTCGCTTCGCTTTGGTGTAACCAATGCTTAAAACATTACATCAATCCTTTTTCTTGAGATCAAAAGTGTGCATAATGAGGCAGCAGCGATGGAGTATACTTTGAAATTATGGCATATCTATTGAAATCTTTACATTTATTAAAGCTTCTGCATTCTCATGTAGGTGGACGAAAAAAATAACTAAAAACGTTCTTCAGGCAACCCTAATTTCTCACACAGATACGGAAGCCACCACCTACCTACATATTTCTTGTACGCACCTGCAGAAATGCTCATAGTTTTCCCCAAAGTGTCATAAGTTCCGGAGAGTCGGATAGATCGGGGGTGCGGCGATATCCCTCTGACGTCGTTTATCCTCCCCTGTCGCCGGTCCGGGAACGCGGCAACTAATTTCACGCCGGTCCTATATCAGCGCCGACTACAGCGAAAATTGCTTTCCTCGGCGAGAATTGCTTTCTCAGCTTCTCTTGGTTCGTGTTTGTCGCTCTAAGTACCCATTTTGTACGCAACACAACGGCGTTTGTCTTTTTCCTTGATCAATTGCTGCGTTTGAAACTTACCTAGGTTAATTAATCAATGCGAGAAAAGCATTCGTCGTATAGCTTCCGTTATGCTCTACCAACACTAATTTATCAGCATTTCACCACAAACTTACCTGAACTTGCCGATAGCATAATCACCAAGTTCATAGAACTTGATCTCCTCTGAGAAGACGTCAAGGGGTACGTTGACGGGCCTTCGTAATCGCCCGCCGCTCTGGTAATAGTAGAGGATGGCATCGAAACTGAAACAAACACCGCACGCGGTCAGCATATTGACGCATGATAGATATCTCATGCAGATGTATGAGAAATGAATGAGGGATCTTTGATGAATGTCTGATGAGTGACGTCAACATTCAACCAGCATGTAGGTACTGCATTAAAAAAAAATAGGGCCAATATATTAGGTAGTTGTTTCAAATGCCGCTCAAAGCCCAAATTTATGGCATCAGATGATTTGTGTCCCCACTAAAAAGCAAAAAAAAAAAAAAACTCAGCTAGTCTGTTGCAAAGAGCGAAGAACCTAGCGGTACCGTCTGGATTGCATCAGAACATGCTTGCCCCAGCACGCCCATTTCGTTGCCAAAAGAAACTTTTCTCGTTAAACGACTGGCGAGAAAGCAACACACGGATTGCGTTTGTGTTCCGTCACTTCATGACAGAGCTTTTAGCACATCGTCGTTGCCGTTGGAGTTTAGTAATTATAGTGGCTTTTCGACACTGCTTCGAGGAAAACAGCAACGCTTCGACAGCTCCGGGGAGCATTGGTGGCGCTCTGACAGCTGAAGCTCCGGGCGGCATTAGAAGCGCTCCGACATCTCCGAGCGGCATTCGCAGCGTTCCGACAGCTCTCGGCGACATGAGTATCGCTCCAGTAGCTCCTGGCGGCATTCGCAATGTTCCGACATTTCCGGGCGGCATTCGCAGCGTTCCGACAGCTCTCGGCGACACGAGAGTCGCTCTGTCAGGTCCGGGCTGCCTTTGCAGCGCTCCGTCAGCTCGCGACTGTCTTTCCAGCGCTCCGACAGCACCGAGTTGTCTTTGCGGCGTTTCGATAGCTCCAAGCGGCATTCGCAGCGCTCCGACAGCTCCGGACTGCCTTTGCGGCGTTTCGACAGCTCCTGGCAGCAGTTGCAGCGCTCCGACAGCTCCGGGCTGCCTTTGCGGCACTCCAACAGCGGTAGCTCGGCGGCGCCGGTCGATCGATCCGATTCAGCGGGCTCCAATTACGTCTGGTCCTGCGTTGACGTTGGCTGCGCCTGGAGGCTCGACCGACCATCCCCGGGAAGTCGAGATGGTCGGTCAGCTGGGCGGCCGTCTAGGTCGGCGGATATCGGCCCGGGTCCGAGGCAGCTCACCAAAGGAACAGGGGAGGGTAGGACGACGGGGATGGAATGAAAAGGGGAATGGGAGACGGGACAATCGAGAACAGCAGATGAGTGCGCAGCAAGGTGGAAGATACAGCTACAGAAAAGACGGTAACATTAACAGACAGGAAACATAATAAATGTGGGATAAATCACAGAGTATTTGTATTGATTTAAGAAGCTGAAACTGACGAAAGCAAAGGGAAGGAGGAAAAACAACATTTTTGTTGAGGTACTATGAAGGGAACATAATAGATGGAGATGCAGATACGAAAATTATGTAACACAACGATACAAACAGGAGAAACTAAAATGGCTAAGAAGAGGCGGTGAAGGTCTGAAAAGCAACGTTAAGGAAGTTAGTTGGATAACATTAACAGCCATGAATCGCTAGAACTTAAAAGACAGCTATCAAATCGACAAAGTGTCACTTTTTCAAACATTTAATCCAATCCATAACAATACCACATTCACAACAAAGCGCTCAAAATGTCGTTTTATTAGGCAACTTTGAAAACCGGTAACAGTTCGCAATATACTTCTAGGCGTCATTTTTTTTTTCGCGAGCCAAGCACAGAACCCATTCTGCAGCCAAGTTTCAACTATTCATAGGGGAAGTTGGGGCAATGCCGGAGTTGGGGCAAAGCCGAAATTCGAGATATTTCGAAAACCGTAAGACATGGATGCCACCTGTCAGTAGCCGTGTTTACATAGGGTTCCCTTAATCTTCCCCTATTTCTCCCCTATTTTCAGATCGAATTTTAGGCATCATAGCGATCGCGTGTAACGTTGCTATGGGCGCTATTGTTGTTAGAAGCATACAAAGCATCGTTTATGCTGTAAACAATATAAATTGGGCTTATTTAATACTCGAAATTCAACAATTCATATTTTGAAGTATTTTTATCCTGCCCTTCAATTCCCTCTTTAACTCGCGGGCCCGGGGGGGGGGCGTTTTTCGCCCCCCCTGGCGAATATTTGCGATAACTCCCGAACGCTTAGGGTTAGGAAGGCGAAACTTTCAGTACCTTTTCTCCCATCAATTTGACATCTTCTGAAGTAAAAAATTTGGACCTAGCCCCCTTGATGACGTCACAAGGTCCATTTTTCTAGACCCCTGCACGGCAAAAATCGGCGTCACAGACGCAAACTTCAAATAGCTGCTAAAAATAGAGTTTTAGAGATAAAGACAAATTACGAGCACGGCTGTGTAGCGTTTGACCTAAAGAAAAATAGAAAAATAGTTTTGGTGACCTGAGGTCAGAGGTCAGGTCAACGACCCCGAAATGTGGTTTTAGTTTTTCGCAAATAACTTCGACAAAAATGGTCCTAGAGCTACGGCAGTGGTACCATCGCATTCGCCTTGTCAAGCCGCGTCGAATGATATATATTTTGTTCGGAAAAGGTCAAGTTTCATGTTGACCTCATGTGACCTCGAATGACCTATGGTTGACCTTGACACATGAAAGGTCGTTTATGATGGATTTGTACCCGCTGATCACGAATCTGGCATCTATTTTCCTCTAAGCCTTCATTTAGAGCTTCCGGATGGCAAAGTTGTCTTATTTATTATTACTAACTTGAATCAGTGAAATAGCCTCTAGCAGGGATACTCTTCTGTGACCTTGACCTTTGAGCAGCCTTGTATCGTAAGATGGACCACAAATAGGGAACTGATAAGCCTCAAAACATTTCAAAACATCTTGGAAGTTAGCACGCAAGATGTGCGAAAAAGTGCCAGGTTTGAGGTCAATTTTGAGCGTGACCTTGACCTTGACCTTTGATTTGGAGCACATTTTCAGAATCCTCAGATTCTCTTCTTTCGTTTGACACCCAATTTTGCCGGTTTGATGCAGCCTGCCGTCCTCTAGAAGCCTTATTTTGAGATCACTACACATGTGCCGGTTTTGGCTTTTGACCTTGACCTCTGACCTTGAAAATTGACCTGAGGTCAAAAATTTTAGGTGCATTAGAATCGTCTCGTAAGGACCTTTCGTTTGGTATCGCTTTTGTTTCCGTAGCTCCCTTATTTACGGAGTTAGACAGGGGGGGCGAAAAACGCCCCCCCCCGGGCTGCGGTGGTTGGGATTACCCCCCGGGCCCGGCCGGGTTAAGCGACAAATAGGGGAGGATTTGGTAGCGTAGCGCCTTTCCAAAAGCTGCTACGCTACCATATCCAGTGGTTCTCAAACTATCACATCACAAAAGCGGCGTGCTGATTGGCCGGCAGTTCCGAATCGTCCGACTGGTGGTCCCCGACTCGACAAGCGCACGTGCGCCGACTGAGGATTTTTAAGTGGCATTAACGCATAAACGGCAGAAAGTCAATGCAGAAATTCGACAGGTGCGGTGTTCTGATATTGCCGTGGATGTGATTACACCTACTTGAATAATAGCTCAGCCGTTTAAAGTATGTTAAATGCCAGATAGTTTTCTGATTTTTCTTGCTTTGAGCTTTCATGTGCTATCACTTTTACCTCAGTGTCTAGTCTGGAAGCTATTTGGGAGAGCCCTAAAGGTAAGTAAAAATTGCAAACTGCTTCTAGAATGACTTAGTTGCGCCATATTTGTAGTGAAGCGAGGTAAAGGAGACAGAGGATTCCTTTATAAGGGACATTTAGGAGACAAATAGGGGAAGATTAAGGGAACCCTATGTAAACACGGTTAGTGATGCTCTGAAGCTTAAGTGACTACAATTATCGCATGTTTGTTACGAGTCGTCATTCGGAATACTTCGACTGTGAGGGTGCCAAGAGCGTTTTCAAGGTACGTTTCCCTTGTACTACATGCGCCTTTGAAGCTGCATTTCTTACTCATTATGCTACCGTTTGTCTGGCCAATTCGGTCAAGTAATCTTTAGCATGTCTTTGCATAAGTGTGCTGCCTATTTGAAATTTATACAGCACGTTGAAAAGTTATGGGCCTGCAAATGAAAGTATGGCAGGCTGGGGTAATGCCGAAAACGTGCGATTACGCACGTGTTAAAAGCACGCTACGTGGACTTAACTGCTGTAGAATAGCAACGCGTATTTTTAGTCACACAAATTACACTTTCAACCGATACAACGGCCTGTTACCTATAAGGAATGATTTACCTGGCATGTTCTTATTATATCACACAATTATAACTTCCAGTGTGCACCGCGTCCTCAAGCTCTTAAAACGCGTGTCAGCTTTGATCAATTCTGGATAAAGTTTGAGATAAAATGGCAAAACATCAAGGTCGGCATTCCCCGTAGATCATTTCTCCCATTTTCGGCTTTCCCCGCAGTCCGGGGCAACGCCGAAAAAGTCACTTCTTTGATATTTTTAGTTTGTGCGCTTAACGGTATGCGAATTCATCAAATGCGCCCGGTATGTTTGAAAGGCAAAAGACTGGCCTCTCGAATGACGCCAACAAGAATAGCTTATGTTGTCTACCTTGCGTGCTACGGGCGTCAGAAAAAAGTCTTCGGCGTTCCCCCAACTTCCCCTACGTATGTAGTTCAGACTGCAAAGAATCGACATCATGTTACGCATCAATAAGCTGTCACTAGCACCCAATAATCGAACAATTTGCTCAGTCACTGCCATCATAAAAGCAATCAAGCTTTAAATGTCGCTGGACTGGCTGTAGGCAGGCTGCGGACCATCAATGTCTGGCCCTCCTCAGCAACACAGTGCCGGCACGACTAGAACTGGACATTCTAACTACTGTTATTGCAGTCTTAAAAATTGATAGCGATTTTACTACCGTACCCCGCGCCTGTTATCGTGTGTCGGTCCAAATGATTTTGTCTTTGTGCGCTTGATTGTAATAGCAAGCAGCCAGGAGATAGGTTAATTTATTTCATGCAGATTCATGATTTCAAAGGCATAACATTTGATTGTGAGAGCAAAACATTTGCATGAGTATGCACTATCGATCTAGTACACGAATCTTTAAATTACATCTACTATCATTACAGATAGATGAACGCGTTATTGATTTATCAATTCCCGTTTACACGCTCACAATTGTTATATGAGGTGTCTCATAGACACATTCGCTTTTGTAATATTTGTTCATCTCTTACAGTACCACGCATAGGAACCGACGTCCTTTTGTGAATGCCAGATCATTAGGATCCTTTGGCAGCACTTGGCCTAATTAGCGTCCCCGTGAGGAAGAGGGCGGCGGGAGACCGGAAGTGCTTCCGGCACCGGAAATAACTCCCGGAACCCGTTTGCCATTGGTCGGGAGGCACCGCGTCCGTCTGCCTGTCCAGCCGTATATACGGCACTGGAGCGCTACCCGCTGCGAAGCCAGTCTGGTCCCTCTATTGACGGAAGCGCTAGACGATGATTCGAGCTGTGCATTCTGACGTTCAGTGGAATTCCAGGCAATGAGTGGAATTTTATCGTCCGCTCAAACTGTCGTGATTCCGCCGCCGGAAAAGAATTCTCATAGTAAACGGGATTAGCACAAAGGAAGTGGAAGGCAGCTAATTGCAGCCTGAAGCGAACAAAGGCGGGGTGAAAAGAATTAAAAGTGAGTAGCAAAAATAATATCTAAAGTAAAAATATTGGCTTATTACCAACTTTACAGGGAATGAAAATTTCCGTGTTATCCTAAGATATTTGCAGACGATTACTTCATTTTAAGCAAATTGTTTGTAGCAAGGAAACAATTAAATAAATTTCATAGAGCACTTACACTGTTATTCCGGCACTCATGGGCTACCGATGGATTTGCTTGGCTAGCTTGCCAAGGCTTCACCAAGTAGCACGTGTTGCGCTGTTCGTCATGTCATATTAATGATGAGGCCAATGAGCAAACTTGGACGGGAGATCGGAAGGATGCCAAACGACTGAATGCGCCAGCTTATGTGTCCTGGCAGAATTTCTGCCCAGACTCTGAGCCATGTGAGAGTAGCCCAGCGTTTTTTTTTAGACACCCATACTTTGGCACTTTGCAGTTTGCTTGATGTCATGACGCTGTGATCTAACAACATTTGTATGAGGTGCAAACAGACCTCAGCTTTAAATGCGGACATTTTCTCAGTTTGACATTATAATACTACCTGTGAAATGTGCATGCAAAAAAATGAAAGAAATTGCGAGCATCCGTCTGGCCTGTCTGACCTCCATCTGACCCCTTTTTACTCCAACTGACCTAGTTCGGTTTCGATCGAAGAAGTACTCGTTCCGGAGCGGGTCGAAGTAGCGGATTCTCCGGGCGGGATCCCCGAGCAGGGTGTCAGGAAACTGGTGCAGGGTGCGCAGCTGCGTCTCGAACCGCAGGCCACTGACCTGAAATGGAAAAGGACAGGGTATCAGGGCTGACCTGAAATGGGGAAGCGCGTGGCATGAGAGTTGACCTACCATGAGACAGTGCATGGCGTCAGGGCTGACCTGAAATGGGACATGACTTGGCGTGAGAGTTGACCTGAAAGGGGACAGAAAATGGCAAGAGAATTTACCTAAAACAGTGTCAGGTCTGACCTCACACAGACCTAAAATAAGACAGGGCACAACATCAGGATTGATCTTAGATGGTGACAGGTCTGACCTGAAAAGGGGTCAAACAAGGGTCACAGCTCTGGCCTGAAATAGTGCCCAGTTGGGCCACAAAGAGATCTGAAATGGGACAGGGCAAGGCATCAGGACTAAGCCATCCCTATGCTTTTTTATCCTATTTTGAACATAAAATAGGCGCCAAAGTAACGGTTCCAAAATGCTGCGAGACAGTAAAGGGATTGCACTATTTCTTGCTAACTTTGTGTCACGAGATCAGCTGTTGTATGGCTGCTTTGTGAGGCAGCGGAGTCGTGGCAGAATCCTGTTCGGCCTCTGCCTTAGACGTTTATTTGGAGTCAATGTAAACCGGTAGCTCAACGACGACGACGTTTATTTGAAGGGAATGTAAGCGGCCTGGTCAATATGGCTGTAGCTTTTCCAATCCATGCTGAACATTGAACGAATTCTTTGACAGGAACTTCGACATCAAGCATGGTGGCGCGGGAACTTCTTTCAGGCTGGGGGGGGGGGGGAGGGGCAGTGGGCACACCTGCAACTTTTCACTGTCATCCATAATAGAGATCAACCTAGGGTAGGGGAGGGTGGGGCAAAGCGGCCACCCTAACGCTTCTCACGATGCCAACGCTTGATTTTTGAACTTGGAAAGATTCTTTCTATACCAATGTGATCCCTATTAAGTTGCCTTTTATTTCAACTGTGTTTTATTTCCAAAGGCGTTCACATATGGAAGATATTGACAAAGCTTTAAGCCTATGCATATTGGCCACTTTGCCCCATACCCTGGGGCAAAGCGGCCACCGGCGTCTTCTCAAGTCCCGATATGAGAAACAAAATAGTTGCCTCATGTACGACTAGGGTATTTTGATGGTGACAAGGTTTAAGCGAGGATGGATGTTTACTTTATCATCTTCCACCTGTAGGTAAACAAAGAAAGGATTTTCATTAAAAAACATTTAATTCCATTATTTGGTAACACTTGCAACTGAAAAGTGGCCAAGATCAAAGCATGATGACACATTTAAATATAAATAATGTTTTTATCCAGATGGAAACAATTTATGGCCAATTGAGGGGTGGCCGCTTTGCCCCGGCCACTTTGCCCCGCGCATACCGTCCGAGACAAAAATATTCCAGCTTAGCTATTAGTGGGGTAAAAAACACTAAAATTGGTAGAATACATGTACGATAACCATGCAATGCATGGACAAGAACGCTTATAAAAATTCCAAACGGTTATGGAATAACATAACATTTAAAAATTGTAAACATAGTTGGTAACCTGGCAAGAAATGCTTTTCCGTGTTTCACAGAGCAATGGTGATGGGCCTGAAACCCCGGTCTGGCTCATTCGAACGACCGTGAAGAGAAGTATAATTGGAAACCATAAATTGGAACTGACGCCAGCTATGAAGGGCTAAAACGATGGGTGGCCGCTTTGCCCCGGGTGGCCGCTTTGCCCCACTCTCCCCTACCCCAAAATCTATTTTTCAAACCTGTTTTAGGCCACTATTTTTCACACCCTGGCCTTTTCAACGAAAGAAACAAAACGAAAACTTGGGCAAAAAAAGGAGGTATTAGCCGTTTTCACGACAGCCATCTGGTACACATTTGGTGCAAATTTGGTGCAGATTAGGCGCAGATTTGGTCAAATTAGGTTCAGTGTATCTCTTAGTAGCTATCTGCTATTGCGCTAATTGCTTACCTATATGCCTGCTTTGTCATATTATCAGAGAGTATCATCGATTAAAACACTGAAATAAACTCCTAAAATGAAGATATTTGCTGTAAAAGAGATTAGGTGCAGATTTGGTCAAATTAGGTTCATTTGCCGGATAGTCTGTCGTGAAAACGGCTATTGCGTCTCAGCTAAGCCAAGGAACTACCTTTTTGGTAACCTGGAATAAAGGTTTAATGCTGCCACATGAGCTGCCAAGCCAAGAAAAGAAAGGAATTTTCACTTTTATGTTTTCTTCAATTCATTTTTTCTTTGTGACCCATAACCTCTATTTTGGGAAAGATAAGTTGCAACGACGGTTCCTTGCCCTATGGAAAGTTGTGGGGGCAGCGCCCCCATACCAGCGCCCATAACCGTGGGGGCATCGCCCCCACGGTTCCAGAGTCGTGGCGTGGGGCAAGCTACCCCCACTGCCGCCCTCCTCCCCCGTTCCCGCGCCTATGACATCAAGACCACATGATAAGAATAAATAGCATTTTACGAATCAATCACACATCAACATTTGTTATAACTTTTCCTGGATGCATTCTTTTGAAATATTGAGGGATATTGAGGGCACTTGCCATTCATTAGCACTTAGCAGTGAGAGACGACAGTTTGATAACATTTGCGCGACTTCCAGTACTCACATTGATGACGACACGCTCACAAAAGTCGTGCTCGTGAGGAATGGGCTCGAAGTTGCTGACTTGCACCTGCGTGTGGCCGCCGCCGCCATCATCTTCGTGAAGGTTGGCCTTTGGCAGTGACCTGAAACAGAAAACACAGGGGGTAAGGCTCCCGAACAAATTCGCACGACAGACTACCACTTCTGACTTTTCTATGATAACGAGTTCCGTCTCATATGACGCAAGAGATGTAAAACATTAAAGGGACCCTCCCACCTTCAAAAAAGTTAATGAATTGGCATGAAAGTGATGTCGCTCGGTTCAGAAAGAGGAAAAACGAATATCTACCAAATTGCATCGAAAAATATTCACCGGTTTTCAAGATATTAGACTTTTACTTTTGTTTACTTTTTGGGATCTCCGCTGTTCCTAGCGACTTTATTTGAAAGTGCGGCATTTGTTGCGCGCAAAGCAGCATATACCACCGCGTGCTACAAAACGTTTTAGTCAAACATTTAACGGACGTTCGAAAGCCTGATGACGTCATCAGATTCCCGTAATGGTTAAGAGATAGGGACCACGCTGGTCCCACCCTGCAAAAAAGGGAAGAAATTTCTTGAACACCATAAAGCTGCGGGGGTTGCGACCAGGATAAATGGTGGTTTCTGAGCCTGGCCGCAAACTTGGCTATCTCAACTCAAAACTAATGTTAAGGTGGGAGGGTCCCTTTAACCTTCCAGGTGGTGGTGGGGGGGGGGGGGGCATTTTTTGCCCCCCTTTAGTTTTTCGATATTTCTCCAGAACCGCTGCGCCGATCGTCACCAAACTTTCAGTACCCTCCCATGAATAGCTATTGCACATTGTGACCAATTTTTTCCAAAGGCTATAATAGGTTGGCCGCTAATGACGTCAGAGTGACGTCATTTCTGCCATTTTCGACCCAAAAAAAAGGTTTCGCGGGAAGAGCTGTCAGGCTTTAGAGCTACAGAAAATGTTTCAGACATAAAAGGTGTAGAATTAACAGGGCTACAAAACTGGTGGTATCTTGGATTTTTTACATTGATGGATTTTGACCCCCAAAAATAAAAAAATAGATTTTTTAAATATAATTTAGCCGAAAAATCCAAAAAGTTGTTGAAGTTAAAAAACGGAATATATGTGATAGTGTCTACCACCTTCTATCTACATACCAAATTTGAGATCAATGCCTCTTTTTTTAGCCAAGTTATAGCGAAAAAACTGTTCAAAAATGATGACGTCAAATTTTCAAACTCAATTTTTAGCAATTCTAGACCTCGTAGCGCAAAAAAAAAGACCACCATTAGACTCCCCATGACGAGCTGCATCGAATCAATACCCATTTTATGCAAAACTAACAACTTTGAAATTTGACCTTTTTACCTGACCTTGACCTGACCTCCACCAGAAAGTGACCTAAAACGTACCTGATGGTCTTATAACCAACACCATTGAGTTGGAAATGAAAAATTGGCCATAAAACATGCATCGCACAACCTTAGTAAAGTTGGGTTCATGTGGTGACCCTTGGTGACCTGACCTGTGACCTGACCTGTGACCTGGCCTGGTATGACCAGTGACCTCTAAGAGCAACATATGTAGTAGACACTAGACAACTGGCGCCCTATCGCTGATTTTCGACAAAATGCGTTTTACTCGGTGTTATAGCGCTTTCCCTAGAAGACCCGTGAACGGTGAAACATTTTATCTTTGACCTGATCTGTGACGTCATCAATGACCCCGAGGTCAATGAAATTTGGTTCCTTTCGACAAATTTGACAGTGCTATCGAAAGCTGTTTGAATTTTCCGGATCCGTCCTGTAGTTTCGGAGATATGGGGGGGGGGGCAAAAAATACCCCCGCGCGGAAGGTGGCCGGGAGGCCCACCGCCTGCCGGGTTAAAAATGCTGATGGTTCTCGCATCTTCAAACCAGGTTGTTTACATTTGTTAGTGATGACCACGGATGGCAAACATGACTTAAATAATGAATATAATGCGCAAACTATCTTCTTATTGTTCTCATTATTATTTTAAATGACAAGCCCACACCTGATCAAGCATATTTTGAGGATAAAGAGCCACAATAAAAGAACATGTTTCATGTAGTTTTCCGTTTCAGCAAATGACCCCGCCCTCTTCTTTTCCCAGAATCCGAATACTTTGCCGCGGTTCGTATTCCGCACCGACCGCTGTACCAGGTATGTTTGGCGGGGGTCGGTGTCTTGTTGCCCGGAGCCAGTCGTCATAACGTGCACAACACTGGCGCGCATGGACGGGTCGGCGCCGCTTGGGGCGGGACCGCTCGTCGCTTCCGACAGGGGGGGGGGGGCGTGCCGACGGGTCGTCGCCGTACCCGTGACCCGGGCGTCGATGTCGCCGGGGGAGGGGTAGGGGGAAGGGTGTGTCCGTGGGGGCGGGGCGGCCGGGCGGTGACGGACTGGGTGTGTCAGGGCATGAGGAACGGGTGGCAGACAGGGGGCCTGTGTGGAGGCTATGAACGGGCTATAAAGACGAACAGGGGTTCAATATAGACATACTTACAGCGTTCACTCACTAGTCAAAAGAAAATGGGTTGGTAAACACGAAAATGTATTTGCTAAAGGGTGTGCTAACCAAAGACTTTACATATAATTCCCTTTCAAAAGGATGGATGGTTACGAAACGTCACTGAACGATAGTTTGCACCTCATTGTAAATAATGTACCTACTTGTACATGTCTTCGCGGATGACTATGCAAAGCACAGCAGACCAGCACTTCCGTTTTATAAATGATTTAGTGAGTGATGAGACTTAGTTCATGTTGTATGAGTTCCCGGAAGTTCTTTGTCTTCAAAGCTCGATAGTTGACTGCAGGGGTGCCAACCTCAAACAAATGCTGCACGGTAACCAAAGCCTGCCTGGCATTATCTATTATGTCATCGTGTCTCCGATAACCAAAATAGTGGCCAAGGTTTCTTTCGGTAATGATATAAAATAACGAGGTAAAATATTTCTACACAGGTTTTCCGTATATTGTACAGAAATATGGCGTGCTAATGAACATCATATCATTGCAAAAATACTACAAAGGGCGACTAAGAGACAGGGCAACTAATGCATCGAGGACAAACTGCCTACTCGTGTCAGAGAGCGAACCCACCCGACCACGACAGTCGGCTTTACAGGGGGTAACGATCCCGCAACGTCAGTCCACAGCAGACTAGGGATGACACACAGTGGCGGAATGGAAACCAGCATCACAGGCTTGCAGTGGCGGGAGGGCTTGTCACAGGTGCACACTACTGTAGCTTGGAACGGATATCCAAATCACGGGAGCATTAGTTTGGAACGATTTCTAGCATTACAGGCTCACATAGGTGGAATAAATTTCAGAATTTCGTGCATACATGGGTGCATATTGCTTACTGAAAGTGAACTAACAAAGGTGAGTTTTTTCCGTGATGAGGTGCAATGTTTTTGGCACTGATCGCATACTTTAAATGCTCACAGTTTAAAATGTCATTCGCACTGGATCATAACCAAAACAGCACTTACATATTTGTACGTAAAAATCTACCTACTTTAAAATGCATAAATGATGTTTTAGTCTTCACCAGGATAAACATAGGCAAATAACAGTGAACAATAGATAAACAATAAGTAACAAAGTCACAATGTGACCTTGCGAAATTGAAAGATAAAAACAGCATTGGCCTTATTTACTTTCACAAATGTGACATGATCACAACGCATTGAATCAACACATCCCTATACTAACACACTGTTGACAAGTCCCATCACATGGAATTACAGCGATGACGTCACGGGCACCGCGCCGCGCCCACCCCGAAGGAGCTTACTTGTATCCGCCATTTTTCTTCTTCCTGCGCCTGGCCATGACCGCGATGTGAGTGAAGACACGCGCGCGCGACCGCTGGCGCCCTTTGAGGGTGGCGCGCCCACAATGAGTGCCACTGGCGGCTTGGCGAGCCGCTCATTGATTGGCCACGTGCGCGACGGTCGTCGGGCCGGTAGCCTAGTGACGCCAGGTGGCAATCAATGCCGACCCCCACCCACCCAGGGGGGGGGGGGGCGCCGACTGTGACGTAAACCTGCTTCCGCGGACGACTGATGGACGGCGGGCAGTGAAGCGCCATCGACAGCACGTCTTGGAGCCGCTAGCAGTTAGCCAATGAGTGGACATGTTTACAGGCGGTCATTGCCGTCCCCGACACGTACTTGAGTTCGTTGGCCGGACTTCGGACAATCCTACGGTCATGCCTTTGCTGCTGTGTTCGGGAGCACATACAGACTGTCAAAACATTTTGAAGGGGCTTCAGCGCTGGTGCTCACGGTCCAGCTCTGGTGACTGGTGGCTCTATTCCCTGGACGGTGAACTGTTTACATTCTATGGCTTCAAAGTCTCCGACTTAATCGGATTTCATTGTAAAATGTTTTGACAAAAGCATGTCATCAAGTTACTGTGTTTTCACTTGTACAGCCTCTAGGCTTTGAAAGCTAAATAATCATCATTCATCTCAAACGCAACATAGAATATACAACACTGAAGCGCAAGTACAAACTGAATATAGACAAAACTAGCCACATTAAGTGAAGTTACCTCTAAAGTGTCGTAGGCCCATGCTGAGTGCACCGAAAGTAAGGGAAACACATTTTTTCCTGTTCTTTGGGGGATCGTTTAGCAGCATAGGCAACGCGAATTGTATTGACATCATCGTGGCATCTGTCAACTGGCTATGCAATAAAAAGACACAAGAGATTGGGATGTGTTCATTCTCATTTAGTGGGATGAGTAAGTCTTGTTTTAGATCTCATAAATTAGCTAGCCGATCACTCATGCTCCATCGTTATGGTTTCGCGCCACACAGGCTGGGTCCAAATTGCACCTGGCGACGCGTCACTCTCACTGGTTTAACCCTATTCCTGGCGGGGGGGGGGGCCTCAGGAGCCCCCCCTGAGGTTTTTTGGTTATTTCTCCCAAACGCGTTGAGCTAGGAAGCTCAAATTTTCTGACTTTTCCTAAAAGGCTTCTACGCAACATGTCTGAAAATTTTGAGTTGATCTGACCTCAGGTCAGGTCACCAGAGGCGGTTTGGTGACCCTACCTCAGAAAAGTTTGCAATCACGCCAGAGCTAGAGTTTTTGACCGATCAATTTCTTCTCTTCAGGCTTTAGTTAGGGTACCAGTATGTGCAATTTGTATATCTCGGAATTTTGATATCGGTGACCTAAGGTCAGGTCAGTTTCGCGACCTCCCCATTATAAGTCAATGGGGGAAAAATCAACTCCCTGTTTTTACCACTAAAACGGGTCGGAATGGCTCCATATACCATACATGACTTCATATACGATCAACCTTCACTACCTTGAGGTCTGTTTTGCTGTTGGGCAGCTGTGAGGTCATGTGACGTCATCAAAGGTCACCAAAGGTTTTTGGCCAATAACTCCGTACAGGAACAAGATACAGACGCGTGGATGGTCTCATTGTGTTCAGCTCGTCAAGACGCATCGAATGATATACATGATGACCTCGAGGTCACGTGACCTGAGGTCAACCTTTGACCTTGACCTTTCGAGGTCAACATATATATCATTCGATGCGGATTGACGAGAGGATCACGATGATGCCCTTAGTTTGTTCCTATCTTGACTAATTCGAAAGTTATTCGAGAAAAACTCTCTCCATATCTAGCGCCGCCATTTTGACTTTTTCGACCCCTGTGACGTCATCTTTGACCTGACCTGAAAATGACCTTAGTAAAAATTGTAGACCTTGTCCATGCGTATCCGATGCCGTTTACCGCTTGTCGCTATCTTGCTTCGTTCTCGAGATCTCAGGGGGGGGGGCCGAATCGCCCCCCCCCGCCAGTTTCTTGTCCCGGCGGAGCCCGCCAGGAATAGGGTTAATCTGGACTACTTTGGTGGTTGCATCAATCAAGTGATCACTATTCAGTATTCAGTCTGGCCTTGGTCTCAGTATATGTAAAAAAAGTTTAGCACCATAGAGGTACTTTTCAATTGACTAATTTTCAGTACCCTAGCGGTGCTAAGCTAAGCATTTTATTCGCACTTAACTGAGATCTAGTTTAGTATCGAGGTGCTAATATAAGTACCCATATTTGTTTAGCACCCGTGTACTAATTGTAGTACCCTACACCTGCTAGACCAATTTTCAGTACCCTAGCGGTGCTAAACTTTAAAAGGTGCTAAGAATAGCATGCAGTTAGTACTTTCCGTACTCACATATGAACCGTTTTAGCGCTATTGTTACCCCACGACAAGTAGAATAATGCTAACGAAAGCAATGGGGCTGAAAGTAGAATATCGTTACTATAGGATAAAACCAGTCAGTTGTCCCAACATGCATGGAGAGCGGTCAAATACCTTCATTTTCCCTCCTCCAGTATCATTGTCCTGCCCTAAAACACTCTTACAGAGGATGGCAGAAGCGCAGATGCAATTAGAGCCGGAAAAGACACCACAATGGCTAGACTGTAGAGCTGCTTGCAAATAATGACGAAATAGGTGTGCTCCTCTGTAGCGAATGCTGGGAGAATCTTCATGATTCTATCTTTGTTCAAATGACCATACTTAGATCTGAAAGCATGCTAATTATCCTCGCAATGTTCAAACAAAGGCTGACTGGCTACAAAATCTCAACGCCTCTTATAATCAAACAAGTGCAAGTGCGCATAAACACGCGAGCACATAAGCACCGACAGCTGTTGAACAAGCAAACTCATACTAACATCGCAATCTGACTTCTGCTTATCCGTTCTATGAGCTCGGCAGTCTAAACATTGGCGAGTGCCAGCGCGAGGGCCTCGGCGTGCCAAACGGACCAGGGATGTGACGCCCGATCCAAACCGTCCCCTGGTACTGAGCAGCTGGGAACCGGACGACACAGGACGTTCCAACAAGGCCGGAGGTTGGAATGTTGTCTTGGGTGGCGCTTCCCGCCACACGACTGACTGAGGAATGGGATCTTTGTCTTTTTCGTGGTATAGTAGGTAAGCGCTCAGTTTTGCCAGGCACGGTTGGCGAGACTGCGCGGCGCTCTGGGACAAAGCGATATGTGGATGCATGCAAGGTATGCTGTGCCGCAGTACAGTACGCCTGCGAGGTATACTGTGCCGCAGTACAGTACGCCTGCGAGTTATACTGTGCCGCAGTGCAGTACGCCTGCGAGGTATACTGTGCCGCAGTACAGTACGCCTGCGAGCTATACTGTGCCGCAGTACAGTACGCCTGCGAGCTATACTGTGCCGCAGTACAGTACGCATGCGAGCTATACTGTGCCGCAGTACAGTACGCCTGCGAGGTATACTGTGCCGCAGTACAGTACGCCTGCGAGGTATACTGTGCCGCAGTACAGTACGCCTGCGAGCTAGACTGTGCCGCAGTACAGTACGCCTGCGAGGTATACTGTGCCGCAGTACAGTACGCCTGCGAGCTATACTGTGCCGCAGTACAGTACGCCTGCGAGCTATACTGTGCCGCAGTACAGTACGCCTGCGAGCTATACTGTGCCGCAGTACAGTACGCCTGCGAGCTAGGGTAGGGTGGGGTAATTTGAACATGTGGGGCAATTTGAACATAGTGTGAATAACACAAAATTACGGAAAATCCATAAGTGGCATGACAATAAGACCAATGAGAGAAATTATCGTAACCAAAAGGGCTATCATATGAACGGGGTTTAAAGTTTCAGGGAATGTAGATGTTGACGCACAGTGTAAAAAAATCAATTTCGCAAGGAAAAACGCCTAACAACACTTCATTGCAACTTCATTGCAGCGCAAAATCTTGCATTGCTAGCGCCTAATACGCAACGGCTTTTGTTGTACAATGACCTAATTAGTGCCTTCAATCCAAGAAATTTGCTTTTGAATCCTGTTTTTAAAAATGGCAAAATAACTTTTAGCGTGGGGTAATTTGAACACAGTGTGAGAATTTCAATGAAGACAGGGATAGCTCCGAAAAAACAACGCTCCCAGTTTTTTTGCCAATATTTTCGACCCAAAGCAGTAGCAGATAAGTGATGCCAGTTTTAGAAAATTTACGTCTAATATCCGTCTGATGTCCGGCATTTTCGTTGATTTTCCGTCCCAAAAATGTTAAAATCAATTATTTGTCCAAATATGTCCGAAAATTATGCAGCTATCAACACTCAAAACCGCCATTTATATTGCTTATCATGTAATTTTACCAGCCGAAAGGTGTTCATTATATTGAGAGCTTAACAAGCTTTCCATTCGCCAATCAATGCTACGCACGATTACTTGATGAAAATGCGTAAGTGTGGCAGGCTATCGTCCAATGTTGTCCAGACTACTATACCTTTGTGCAATCAATTCCGAATTGGACAATATAAAGAATCGAAACTCCGAATGTCCAGGTTCCGATTGGCACCACTATAACAGATGAAGTAAGGTTTGGTAGGGTTTTTATCGAACGGAGATGATAGACGTTCTGTTCATTGAAGAGAGGCGAATTCTGTCAACTGACCGGTGTGCAGCGTGCAGATATTGATACTCTGCAACTGTTATTTTTGTTGTTGTGCTGCTTTTTCAAATGAAGCTATGTTTAGAATTGCTCTGCCTATTCGTTTATGGGTCAAACAACATCGGTGCTGGCGAGACTATCGTTTTTATGGCAGATAAAGGCAGTATGTTCAAATTACCCCACGGTGGGGCAATTTGAACACACCGTGACTTGGTGGAGAAGTGATGCTATGCTTTTCAAGGTATGCTCGGCTCGTCCAAAAATGAGGCTTGCATGGTGAAAGCAAGTGACACATGCGCTACTAAAACAGTTTTTCTTCATCCAGGGTTGAGCTGGAATTTGGTACAACGGAGAAGACGTAAAAATATGTTCAAATTACCCCACACTACCCTATACTGTGCCGCAGTACAGTACGCCTGCGAGCTATACTGTGCCGCAGTACAGTACGCCTGCGAGCTATACTGTGCCGCAGTACAGTACACCCATCAGTTACACTGCACCGCCGCCGTCAGCGCTCGGCAGTCCCCCATGCTGGGATGCGGTTTCGCTTCCTTATGGCATCCAGTGACTTCTCTAAGGACTTGAGGATAACTGCACAGCTTCAAGCTATTGCGATTTCGATATAAAAGTAGGCTATCTTTTCCTGATCGAGGAGCAAAAAGGAGCAATAGAATTAACCTGTGTTTAATCCGACATAGTTCCGACATCCGACATATATGGCTTCTACCACTGATGACATGATGCTTACCTGGACATTCTATCACGGCGCCAGACCCGGTTGGGCAGACGGACCAGGTGCAGAAGAAGGTCCACATCGAACGAGCCGCCCACTGTCGAAATGGTGGCACACATAGTCCCGCGCTAGCGGCGCCTCGGCCTCGCGCCCCGCTCCCATGGGCGCCCCGGGCCGGCGCACGGCCGGCGCCCTGGCCGCTCGCGCGCCACGGTCACGTCACGGCCCGCGGCCCGAGCGTCACGGACCGGTCGTCACGGACCAGTCACGGGCGTCACGATAGACCCGCTGGCACTTCGTCACGTCGATCGGTTGGTCTTCAACAGTCGTCGATTCGGTCGAGTCTCGGATCGACTGTTCAACGCGCTCTTGCCTTGGTTCGTCGCATAGTTCAGGTGATGGTTGAATAGATGAGTTGATCAAGCGTTATGAGAAATATTTCCAAAGTTTCATTTAGTGTGATCTTTTATGCTTGCATCCGGGGTTTCACCGCTCCAATAAGCGATCGTGTCTGAAACCGAGTTCTGTGAAATTAAGTGCTCCGAAATCAAGGGAATGTTCACATGCATGCGTAATGGATAGGTTCGGATAATGTCTGAAAAAAATCACCTCTAACCATAATTGCCCGTGTGTGCAAAAGAATGCTTAACAGTTGAGACAAGGAGCATCAGTGGGAACCTGTCTAAGTATCCACGGCTATCTGGTTTTTAGCTATCTAAATATAGTTCACATAAAGCTTTACAAGGCTAACTTCTATTCACACGTTCCTTTAACGACCTTTTTACAGCCAGACACCGTCGGACACATTACGGGATTCTTTGTAAGCCGATAAAACTCGGATCTGTCACTGTCACAGGAAACTCGGACTCATTTAATAGCTGACTCGTTCCATCAGCCCGCAGGAGGCTAAATTGATGCCATGACATCACGGTTATGTAATGTTATATGCACCATCCGTACTGATAAAGGATAAAAATTACTAAATAAAGTTCATTCTGATTAAAATGGCATATCAAACATTTTAATTATTTATTGCTCCGATTTGTTTCTTTGGGAGAACCTCAAAACAAGGGGATTTAAAATTTCAAACGACCAGTTACATAGATTTACCTTTGCAGATTATCTCGTCCAAATAAGCTTTGACTAAGTGGTCATTGGAAGGAAAGCTATTTAAAATCAGTGTCAAAAGCTGGGAAACGTGATAACAAAATGCTCCATTCATTGCAATAACTTATGACACCAGCAGCGTATCTTATGGCGATAAGATACTGAGCAACCAGCAGTTAATTTACGGAAAGAAAATGTTTGCATGTGGTAGCGCACGTGACGGTGGCACGCGTCTCCGTCATTGGCTAATGGGACATCAGTCATCGATCAGATGGGCTGACCGATGTACAAACAACGGCGGCTGGTGTGGTGTTGGTGCTGGTGCTGTCATGGTATTGTGCTGGTGCTGTGATGGTACTGGTAGCGGTTCCGGCACTGCATTGCTGCTGGTACTGGCATCAGCACCGGGCTGTCCATGTGCTGGTATTGCTCCCGAGTTTTGGCACCAGTGCTGTGCTGGTGCTGGCCATGTGCTCTGCCAGCGCTATTTATACTGTTCTAGTGCAATGCTGATACTGTGCTGGTACTGTGTTTAACTGTGCTGTACCTACACCGGTACTGTGTCCGCGGTGTCGGACACACCGCGCGCTCTGGTTCGATCAATGGTCAGCCGACCGGTCGGCCGACTGGTCAGTGGTGCCGACAATCAGCTGAGCTCCAGCTGCCGGTCCGACCAGCTTACGGAACCCCGGGACATCCCGAGCTGAGCCCAATAACGACGGGGGCGGTACCGGCGTGTTGGAGACGGAGGGGAATGCCTGCCGGGGACAGATGACGAGAGAAGTGGGAGGATAGTTGCAGCACAACCACACAGGGCAGTATTTTAGGATGGCGCGCAAATTTAGCAGGACCATTTTCTAAAAAACAACAATTGTTTATAAATTGCGCTGTATCTTTGTAGCTATGTTCGCGTTCGCAATATGTATGTATGCTTCCGGAAAGTAAAACGATAATATTGTTTGCCCTTTAACAATCAAGAAAACAAACAAATGACCAGCAACATGAGAAATCATCTTTTTGAGCAGCGACGGTCTGTATTCTTTTCTTGGCTGCCTGCCATAGGTAAGCTAGATCCACAGACTGCGTCTAATGCGGCTGCTGATGTAGTGTGTGCCAGAGACCATGCAGGTGCCTCCATTAATCGTCTATTCATTGGTGGGTAGGAGCGGTAAGGAGCGCGCCCCCCGGACGAAGACGGCTCCTCAGCGCGACATGATGGCTCCGCCAGCGCCATGATGGGATTTCCAGATAACGATGGGAGTGATTGAATAACGATGGGACTTCTGATGAAGAAATGTTCCTACATACTTATAGGGAAGTGCTGGAACACTCAGCGGCAAGGACTGAGGGACGGTCTGAGACATAGGATGCTGGCACTGTGGCTATTTCCTGGTCTGATCGGAACTTTTAGATCTCCTCATGTCCCATGAATTTGAAGCACTGGCACACATAGTACGTTTATTGATCTATAACCTATCGCGAAGGATTGCATTCAAATAGTTGGTAGTGGTAATTTCAGTTTAAATGGCACGTATAACCTAAACGGAAGGAAGAAAGGAAATCATGAAAGGAAGGGAAATGTTTTAAGGATAAGAATATAACGTTGACTTAGCTGCTGCTTGGCATCTGTTACCTCTGTGTTTTTGTTCTACCTATATGTTGTTTTGTTAGTTGCTTGTGATTTTCGGTGCGATCGTGCCTGGGCCTACTTAGCAGTAGAGCATAAGCCCTACTGGGTAGATAAAAGCTGTGTTTATTTACTCTATTCCGTTTTAGATGAATCTGAGCAGATTGCGATGCTCTGAAAATCAATGGAAGAAAAGGAGTGATAAAGTAGCACGTATCGCCACATGGCTTATGTAGCACCATGAACTTTTATCGTGCGTTCCGAAATGGGAGGCTTCATTGCTATTTAGGGCCACATAAAACGTGAAATATTCTAATAATTTCACGACCAAAGTGCCAACAGAAGTCGCGTAACTGTCACATTACTCGTAGTTTGCGAACCAAAACTGCAGCGATTCATGGTGGTGAGTGCCTCGCAACCAGCCCTGAGTGAGCGACAACACCGGCAATCAAGAGCGGTGAAGACTGAACCACAGTGACGACTGGTTCGCAGGCGGAGCGGCGGTGTCCGCCCGTCTCCACAGGGTGCTCATTCGGCAGTGCCGTTATCGTTCGACTCCGTCGCCGTCGTGGCTCCGTGTAGCTTGTGGTCGCTCTTTGAAGCAGCTCGGTCGGCGCGGACCAACGATCGACACGGACGACTGCGAGAGTGGGGTGGAGCGCCACCATCGAGCTCTGCCCGGTTCCGGAGGTTGGAGTCGTGGGTCCGAGTGAGAAGAGTGGGTGGGTTTCCGGTGACGATCGCGACCGCCGGAGTCACGAATGGAAGAGTGCGACCAAACGCGTCACGAGGTCATCACACGGATTTGGCACCAATTCCCACACGATTTCCCTCGCTCACTCACTCCTCGCGCTACGTGCCACACCACTGACCTCCCACACGCACACTACCGGCCACGCAGACCGCAGGACACCGGCCAGCACCCACCGGGCGCAGAGCGCACACCTCGCCGGCGGTCAGCCCTCTGAGCCGCGCCGGCGTCGGCGGCGGCGTGCGTCTGCTCGCGCGCCGTCGGCGGCGACGGGCCGAGCTGTCGGCGGCGGCGCCCGCCGGGATGCACTGAGCAGCGGCGCAGCTCGCGGAGAGAGCTGCCGCAGCTCGCAGCCGCCGGGTCGATAGCGGGCGGCAGCGGCCGCCGCCGGCCGGGACCGCCGGCTTCGCGGTGCCGGCCGTACGATGATCGATGCTTCTGACGCGGCTACCTGGAGGAGCGGCTCGCCGGCCGGCCGCCGGCCCACCTGTTGACGGCCAGACAACGGGAGCATCAGCCGGCCGGGCTGGCGGCGGGTCAGCCGGCAGGGCTGGCGGCGGGTCAGCCGACCGGGTCAGAGAGGCGGGTCAGCCGGCCGGGTCAGAGAGGCGGGCAGGACAGGCGGGTCAGAGAGGCGGGTGGGAGAGGCGGATCAGCAGGCCGGTCATCGCAAGGACAGGCCGAGGCGACCGAGAGCTACAGACCCGGACAACGAGCAACACCGGACAGCAGACAAGTCGACACCTCAGAGTTGGAGAGCGACAATGCAAGACCGGGAAGCTCCGTAAAGCGAGCAGCTTCGGACAGCTTCAGGCACTTTGAGACCAGCAAAACTGTTTTAGATAGAAGACAACTCATCAGATGCAGAATACGGACCACCCATACAGACAGCAGAAGAACAGTCTCAAAGTCGGACCCAACGCACGACCAGATAGGCTCAGCCAGTCACCATCTCCAGAGGGCCTGTCCGCCCGCCGACAGCCACGGCGGGGCGCCGCGCCGCCATGCCGGCGGTGGTCTCCCGCTCGTTCAGGGTCGCCTGGTATGCGGGCTCCGGTCAATGAGATGCCGACGGCCGCCGGGACGCCACCGCGGCACTCAGCTCTAAGCACGGCTCATCAGAAGATCCAGACTCGATTGCAGCCCAGCGGGGCACCAATTCAGGCTGACTGGCGCTGAAGCCTTTGTGCCGAATGACCAACGACCGTCTGGTGTTTCTTGGTGACCTGAACACTTACACGTTATTCACGTGATTCAATGAGATAACACTTGGCACTACAGTTCGCTCGAATGGTGAAAACTTTTAACGATTCTTCATGACAAGCAATCATACAGGCAGGTTTTCGTACATGAATGTCATGCAACCAAGCTTTCTTGCTTGGAACATAGCTGAATTGCACGCTCAACATTATTTGGCCTAGTTGGACTGCACTGATCATATAAGGAGTTTTATTACATGGCTCGTATGTTAACTGGGTGTTAAATTAATTGTGCCAGTTGACCGAAATTTTCACCTATAATTTCCTTCTTAAGGAATACATTTTTTTCTTGTTAATGACACCATAACAACGGTCAATAGAAATCCGCGCGTGTTTGACTCCTTTTTATTTATTTTTTTCCTGAGCGGTGACATATTTCATATTTATTATCGAGTTGGGGTGGGCCATGTAATAAAATGAATACTGTATGGAGTAGGGGCAATAAGGAAAAACTATTCCCTCTGGGACACCACTTAGCCCTCGAGCGAAGACCTCAACAAGCATTTTTGCCCTTGGCTACGCCTTGGACAATAAAGCATGTTTCGGTTTTCAATCTCGGATTACAAATAGTGACGTCATATCGGGCAATAATTTTACTATTGTCCGCTACCGCATAGAGTATTCATATTTGTCTGTATTGATAACAGTCCCTTGGACTTGAACAAGCCCCTGGAAGATGATGGTATGGACCATAGACCTCTGAACTTCTGATGCACCGAGGTCTATGTGTATGAAGTAAGCAAGACCCATCCAATTCACCAGCGCTGCAG